ACTGAAATATTGATTGGCTGCTACCTATGCTCTGGGCGGTGAGCTGTTTTATAATAAAGCGGACGTGGCGAAGGCTCTCTGGATTCAAATGGGCAGTGCAGTAGAACAGATAGAGAATTCATACATTGAAGGATTAATTCAACGGGGGCGTGGGGGGGGGGGGGGGGGGGGGGGCGGAAATATCAGTTTTTAGATTTTCTACACTGGTATGGCGCTCACCGCGGATCGGAAGGTCGTGGGTTCGCTCCCTGGAGGAGCTGGCTTTTTTCAAAAATGACCTTGGCTCCCAGGTCGTCCCAGCCTTGAGTGGGTACCGGGTGCAGTTCCGGGAAGTAGAGGTGTCCGGCGCGATGCTGACCACATCACCCATCTTGTGCCGATTGGTCAATAAAAATATAGGTCTAGCCCTATATGCCCTATACGCCTAAAGGCGTTGAAAAGGGTCCTTTACTTTACTTTACTTACTTACACTGGTATGGAAGCATGAAGGGACTTGTAATCCCTGTATTTACTTGGAGCTAGTCGTTAACCAACCCGGTGTTTCTAAGAACCGCCTCTGATTTTCCGTGCTGGTCCAGGCAATTATGCGCGTTAGCGGGTGGGCCTGTATGCTGTTATTGTTTGTAATCTTGGGACACGGAGCACACGCTGTTTCTCATACATTGCTGTAGGAACTCGGCAGGGGCAACCAGTTAACTAGGATTCCTAATAATCACAATCCTGGACTAAATAATCAACGTTATTATGCTCCCTGTTTGTTTATATAGGAAATTGTTCTTCGTTCGTCCCTGTTATTATAGGGTGTTTACATTCGAAGTTGGGAGTGCTTGAGAAATGAGGCACCAAAAGTCTGCATACAAATAAACCAGATCTGTAAAACGGATGTGCACGTACTACTCAAGTTCTGGAACAAGACCACAGTTCAGACGTGGACGAGCAACCAGAACTTTCCGCCAGAGTTTACAGCTGATGAAAGATAAAAAGAAGAATGGCAACAACGCATACTCAGTACCGTCTTTGTGCTAAAAGGCGACCAAGAAGTATTAACTTGAGACTTTCTACCTCGTCCGGTGTGAATCTCTTATTGGTCAGTCTGGTCAAGGCTGTTTCACTAATTGCTTGATCATCCAGAGTTTGTTGTACTGTTACTCAGATTATCGGAAACTCTGACCAGTGCCGTATTCTTGTCGGACTATCGGGGTATCTGACCATGTCCGTATTCATGCTGGATTATTGGGGTATCTGACCAGTGCGGTATTTTTGCCGGATTATTGGTGCATCTGATCATGTGTGTATTCTTGTCGGAATATCGGAGTATTTGACCATGTGCGTATTCTTGTAGGATTATCGGGGCATCTGAAAAGTGCGGTATTCATGTCGGATTATTGGGGCATCTGACCATGTGCGTATTCTTGTAGGATTATCGGGGCATCTTGAAAGTGCCATATTCTTGTCGGATTATCGGGGCATCTGACCAGTGCCATATTCTTGTTGGATTATCAGGGCATCTGACTAGTGTCGTATTCTTGCCGGATTTTCGGGGCATCTGACCAGTGCCGTATTTTTTTCGGATTATCGGGGCATCTGACCAGTGCCGTATTTGTTTCGGAATATCCGGGCATCTGACTAGTGCCGTATTTATATCGGAATATCGGGGCATCTTACCAGTGCCGTATTCTTGTCGGATTATCGGGGCATCTGACTAGTGCCGTATTCATATCGGAATATCGGGGCATCTGACCAGTGCCGTAATCTTGTCGGATTATCGGGGCATCTGACCAGTGCCGTATTCTTGTCAGGTTATCGGGGCATCTGACCAGTGCCGTATTCATATCGGAATATCAGGGCATCTGACCAGTGCCGTATTCATATCGGAATATCCGGGCATCTGACCAGTGCCGTATTCATATCGGAATATCCGGGCATCTGACCAGTGCCATATTCTTGTTGGATTATCGGGGCATCTGACCATTGCCATATTCTTGTCGGATTATCGGGGCATCTGCCCAACATTGTGTTTACTGGATGAATTTTTTAGGCGTTTGAACAGTGCCGTATTCTTGGACGAGCTAACGAGAAATCTGTCATCCGCTGTTTTCTCTGAACGGATTCTCGAATTATTTAATCATTATTAGATTATTGGACAGATTCTCGAGTCTTCGAGCTTGTCGATTGATTGTGTTATTTAAGTGAGTGTTAGAACAGCTGGGATTAAAATGACACAGACATTGTTGCCTCCAATTACCACAACTCAAGTTCCTGTGTCGGCCCATAGTTCCCGAAAGACTGCCCAGATGACCGAATTATATCATCAAAAGCGAGTGTGGCTGTCAGACAAGTCTCTGAGTAAACTTCGCTACTGTCGCCAGAGATCTCGCAAAAAGGATGACATCTTTCATTTGCGGAGACTGGGTTCTGGATTTTTCTTTCCAGAGTCCAGTGCCCCGCTAGATAGCGCCATTTTAACAAGCTACGTGGTATGAATAAATATATCAGGTGTGATAGCGGCGTTAGGGAATCATTTTGGGGCCATGAGGCTGCGATAATAACGTTTATGTGTTACAGGGGTCACTTACGTTATCTGTTTCCTCCGGGGCCTTCTTAGTCTGCCTCGTGGTCAATTTCTGTTAAACCCTTTTGTATATTAACTCTTTGAGTTCCAAGGAACGCATCATACGTTCATAGGTTCCCGCCTAGAGGCCCAATGAACGCAAGATGCGTCGATTTTAATCTCTATTGACTACCCCTTGGGCCTCTGATGCTAAACCCCCTGGGATTGAAAGAGTTAAGGTCATGTCTGTTATCTGCCGTTCTCTCTATGTGCCCTAACGATTGTAGTCTGCTAACCCTCTCGATACCAGTAATTAGTGATGATTTCAAAACATTTTGAATTGCCTTGCTAATTATCACTCTCCACTCTCTGTTGTTTGTATCTTTGATAGGTTCAACAATTCGTCGTAAGACTGTGCTCAAAGGTTTGTAATAAAGCTTCGTCGTTTAGTTGGAATCACCAACTGGAGAGGGGGACCAGTCACAGAGATGAATGGAGGCGAGTGGTATCTGCGTCAATGAACCTCAAGGACCTGGAATGATGATAATGATGATGAGGAAGAATGAGGAGAAAAAGAATAAAAACAAGAAGAAATGATGATGATGATGAGGTGGAGAAGGAGGAGGAGAAGAAGAAGTCTGATGCCAGCCTTCCTAACATTTTTAGAATTGCATGGTAGATTACTATTCTTTGCTTCCTCCAGTCTGATGCCAGCCTTGTAAACATTTTTAGAATTGCATGGTAGATTACTATTCTTTGCTTCCTCCAGTCTGATGCCAGCCTTGCTAACATTTTTAGAATTGCATGGTAGATTACTATTCTTTGCTTCCTCCAGTCTGATGCCAGCCTTGCTAACATTTTTAGAATTGCATGGTAGATTACTATTCTTTGCTTCCTCCAGTCTGATGCCAGCCTTGCTAACATTTTTAGAATTGCATGGTAGATTACTATTCTTTGCTTCCTCCAGTCTGATGCCAGCCTTGCTAACATTTTTAGAATTGCATGGTAGATTACTATTCTTTGCTTCCTCCAGTCTGATGCCAGCCTTGCTAACATTTTTAGAATTGCATGGTAGATTACTATTCTTTGCTTCCTCCAGTCTGATGCCAGCCTTGCTAACATTTTTAGAATTGCATGGTAGATTACTATTCTTTGCTTCCTCCAGTCTGATGCCAGCCTTGCTAACATTTTTAGAATTGCATGGTAGATTACTATTCTTTGCTTCCTCCAGTCTGATGCCAGCCTTGCTAACATTTTTAGAATTGCATGGTAGATTACTATTCTTTGCTTCCTCCAGTCTGATGCCAGCCTTGCTAACATTTTTAGAATTGCATGGTAGATTACTATTCTTTGCTTCCTCCAGTCTGATGCCAGCCTTGCTAACATTTTTAGAATTGCATGGTAGATTACTATTCTTTGCTTCCTCCAGTCTGATGCCAGCCTTGCTAACATTTTTAGAATTGCATGGTAGATTATTATTCTTTGCTTCCTTAGCGGACACATTTTACACACAGAGGACATATTCTCGCACCTTGATCAGTTGTGTTTCTCATGTAACAGTCCACGCAGTATACTTTTCCTTTCATGTTTGAACACTGAGCAAACATTATTGGGTTGGTTTCCTGTGCTCATCATCATCACATGCTGTGTCGTAAACTGGTTAGAACAATTAGACACAGACAGTCTGGTTTTTGCCTGACAAGTTGTGAGAAGAAATAGACGTGAGATCTTGGTAAACAATTGGCGAGATTGAAAGAAAGAGAGCAAGAGGAAGGCAAAGAGATAAGTACCTGATTGGCGTGGCCACACGGATAGGGCGAAACAAGAACATTGACATGATCCGTGATTATGATGGTCTTGTGAGATGGCGAAACAAGACAGCCTACGCTTACCGGCACGGCACATGATGATGATGATGATGATCAGTAGCGTTCTGATTGTATGTCCATCTTGCTTTTCCTGTGAGTGACAAGTATCGGCGACATCCCCTGGTCACTCCTAACTGTACCATTCTCCCCAGACCATAATGATCAAGTCGCGCCTGAGCATTGTTCACTCGCTACCGAGGGCCCTGACCACACCTAGCTTGTCATGCATAAATTCCTCACCCACTGGTGCAGAACCAGCCAGTCTGTCTGCCAGTTCATTTCCCAACACTCCCGCAATTCCCGGAGAAAGAAAAAAAAAAACTCTCTGCTTCTTATAGGCGATGAATCAAGGTTTAATCCCTCCCCTACCCCTGTAAAAACTATGTAAAGGATCTTATCCCCCCTCTCCTTTTCTTAGTGTCGGCATTCCTGCAAGGGTGGATTAAGACAACAAACGCCTGCCGTCGGTGACTAGACAATCGGACTATTTGCCGATATGTTTGGTCTATGTGTAGTTTTGGGCTGTTGACGTATGATGTGTTTCGTGTCACGTGATGCAGACATTGACAAATCATTTTCAGTCCTTGCTGGAGTCTCAACATGGCGGGCTGACGTTCGGCGGGAACTTCTCAGGTGGAGACGATCCCAGTCACAACACGGACGATGGCGGTTCTTTGAGAGGCGGGGCTGTTTCTACACAAACCAGAAGGCATAAAGGTTGGTAAAAAACAGGTATATCCTCAGAATAACGGTCCTAAATAATCGAGGCTTTGAAAATACCCTAACAGGGCCTCAGTCATATGTAAATTGCGGACCTCTTTCCGGCCACCGCAGAGAGTGGGCTCAACTAGATGGCTGGGACTCACGAGCAAATAAAATGGAGGAAGCTGAAGCATTTGGTGTCCGAGGCCCCCCGCCCCCAGGTTTCCGTGCTTATGGTGCAGATTTCATGGCTATCCACAGATATTAGTCCTTAATGTTCTGTATCAGTTTTTTTGAAGAAGTTCCTTTCTACCAATGTTCCTCATCCTTTGTACATCCGCGGCCCACTAAAACAGTGGAAATTATTTTGTAGACCACCTGTCAGCTAACCAAAGACATAAACCTGTCTTAACATTTTGAACAAAGAGTTGAGTTGAGTTGATTCAAGAACCAACATCACTCGGGGCATTCCCATAAGCACTCTGTCCCCATCGTCAGCAGCCAGCAAAGAGTTCCAATACTAGCATTCTGATTAAAGGTCCGGCTTGTCTTTCCTCTGAGCCTCGAGCATCTGCCAAAACCTCTCATCACTTCCCCATGCATCAATCTCACCAGACTATGGTGATCCACCTGCTCCTCCGAACTGTACACAAATAAAGAAAACACAAACAATAGATTGCACAATTTATTGCTTGGCAAGTTTCACTGTATCTCTTCCGGTGCATACTGCAGTAACAATTCATTAAAATGAAGCAAATAAATGAATCTTTCAAACTGAAACACAAAATCGACCCTTCTTCTCCACACACACATGCACAGGCACGCCCACACCACACATGCATGAACACACATGTGCAAAAAGTAAAAAATAGGGGCCTAATGTGACCCCTCCCCCCCACCCACCCCCCAATAAAACAAAAAAAGTTTATAATTCATTAGTTTAAATATTTGTTTATACATTCATGTTATTTCAGATATATTACAATTAATTGCCATTCTGCAAATATTAATTAAAAATCATAATTATCATCATTATCAATTTAGGCAAACCATAGACCTCTTGTCCATTTTATGCTTTGATTTCCCTCACACATTTGAATTTGTTTTAAACATGGATGAAACATTTCCCCTTTTATTGTAACACACACCTTATTATACACACCTTTTATTGTAACTCTTGGTCTACACTTTTTGTTTGTTATAGCCAATCTCTGTGCACACTATTGTCCTACCAAATCTCTGTTCACACTATTGTTGTACAAAATCTATGTTCACACTATTTTTGTACAAAATCTCTGTTTATACTATTGTTGTACCAAATCTCTGTTCACACTATTGTTGTACCAAATCTCTGTTTACACTATTGTTGTACCAAATCTCTGTTCACACTAATGTTGTACTAAATCTCTGTTCACACTATTGTACAAAATCTGTTCACACTATGTTGTACCAAATCTCAGTTGACACTATTGTTGTACTAAATCTCTGTTCACACTATTGTTTTACAAAATCTCTGTTCACACTATTGTTGTACCCAATCTCTGTTCACACTATTGTTGTACCAAATCTCTGTTCACACTATTGTTGTAGCAAAACTCTGTTTATACTATTTTCGTACCAAATCTCTGTTCACACTATTGTTGTGCCAAATCTCTGTTTACACTATTGTTGTACCAAATCTCTGTTCACACTATTGTTGTACCAAATCTCTGTTCACACTAATGTTGTACCAAATCTCTGTTCACACTATTGTTGTACCAAATCTCTGTTCACACTATTGTTTTACCAAATCTCTGTTCACACTATTGTTGTACCAAATCTCTGTTCACACTATTGTTGTAGCAAAACTATGTCTATACAATTATTGTACTAAAACTATGTTCACACTATTGTTGTACCAAATCTCTGTTTACACTATTGTTGTACCAAATTTATGTTTACACTATTGTTGTACCAAATCTCTGTTCACACTAATGCTGTACCAAATCTCTGTTCACACTATTGTTGTACCAAATCTCTGTTCACACTATTGTTGTTTCAAATTTGTGTTCACTATAGTGTTGTACCAAATATCTGTTCACACTATTGTTGTACCAAATCTCTGTTCACACTAATGTTGTACCAAATCTCTGTTCACACTATTGTTGTACCAAATCTCTCTCTGTGTCTCTGTTCACACTATTGTTGTACCAAATCTCTCTCTGTCTCTCTGTTCACACTATTGTTGTACCAAATCTCTGTTCACACTGGTGTCATAGCTAATCTTGGTCCGCTGATTTGTTTTTTCCGAATGTATGGAATATAATCGTAGCCCACCTTGGGGATGGTTGGCCCCTGTCCCTATTTTTTTTGTACAGTGCCTTCTGCTGCTGTTCTTTCCAATCCACCTTGGCGCTTAATGTGGTTAAAATTTATAAGTTTCCGATATAAGAGGCTGTTTACTAGCCAATCTTCCTTAATGTTGAGAACTTTTAGAATGTCAGTATTTCTTTTCTTGGTCCATGGTATTCAGTTCAGATAATCTTTTTATAGCATTTAAGCTCAAAAGACCCTATTTTTGTTTTTAATGACTAGAAGATAGTTCACAACTCACACCCTTATGTTGCTACAGGAAAGATGTATACCCTCAGAATGTTGACCTTGATTCCTTGCTGGTGCTAAACCAAGACCGGTCTAGAGCCAGTGTTGGCTTAACCATAGACTTGTAATGCTGTTTAATCTTACTTTTACCCTTCTGTTTACACAATCTCTTGTACTACTCATGTACACCAGCCGCTGCTATCTGGACAAACAGAAGGGACAGTTCAGAGTCTGGAACTAGCTTGTCCAAAGTGCCTGTTCTGCCTCCAATACATCACACACTGTCTTCAATCAAGGATTTGAGGAGGGATGTGTCTCAGCACAGTGTCTCATTACCTCCACTGGTGCAAGGTAATTTTTTATGGTGCTTTCTTCATTTCTAGTTTTTATTATTCTAGAAAAGTGTCAGTTGCAAATTAAGAAATAGTTTATTGCTTACGTATATTTCTTCTTCTCATTCTTCTACTCTCCTTCTATAATTCATTCTTTCCTTGTCCAAAGACATTTAACGTCAACTAATCAAGGTTTTTTTATTTTTATTATGTTAAAAAAAAAAACTTTATATAGTTGATGATGTTGTTGGACATTTGGGAACGTTGCCACAGCCATGAAGAGGAGGAGAAAGAAAAAGAAGGCAAAAAAAGAGAAAGAGAAAGAAAGGGCAGAAGGGTAGGAGAGAGGAAAGAAAGAAGAGAAGGATGGAGCATAGAAATAAAGACAGACTAAAAAAAAAACAGGGAAAAGGGATCTAGAAAGTGAAGTTAAAAATGTGGGGAGGATGTGGTGTAAGCTGCATGAAATAGCAAAGGAGAGAATGACTTTAGTTGTTGAGGGCATATGCTCCATTGGGGGATAGTAAGCAGAAGAAGAAGAAGTTAGTTTCATGAAAATCTCCCCAGCTGAACTAGGTCACATTCCATTAATAAATTTTTTAGATGTGTCTGCTGTCCAGGGGGTTATGGCTATGTTGTTTTCTTTCTGGTTTGTCTTGCATTTACGTTTTTCTTCCTATAAAGTGACTGCCTGTGACATAGGTTGCAGCACTCTCTGGGAGGGGGGGGGGGAAGGGTTTGGGTTAGACCCAGTTTTTAAATGTTTTTTTAGTGTTTGAAGTGCTGGGGTGCTTAAATATGCAACACGCAATATGAACAGCATTGCCGAACACCCCCCTAGCAGTGTGCAAAATTCGGGTGACTGGAGGTCGACCAATCAGAAGTGAGCTAGTTTGTAACATGGGGAGAACTGACCGAAGAAGATTAAGTTTTAGTTGTTTTTTTTTAATTGCCCCCAGGTACAGCCTGTAGAGAGTTGCCCCAGGTCAGCATTCAGGTTGCCACCCCTCGGCACTCAAATTCAAGGGGGGGTGCCAGTTCAGCACTAGCTCCAGAAACTAGCCAGACAATAGCAACTACAGGCCTCACTTTACCCGACATTAAAGGTATTCGTTAATAAAAATAGCTCAGTCTTCCCAACATTAGAGATCAGAATGTCCCCTGAAGAGTATTACATCTTTTTACTGATTGAATGAATAAATGAATGAACAAATAAATGAATTGACATCACTGCACTCAGGACATATCCACATGTGCTTAGTCTCTCTCTTCACTAGATATTGAAGAGTTCTCATGTTGATGGTACCAGTGGCAACCTGACATATGTCTTTTCCCTACAGACCCTCTATTGACTCCTTGCTAAATCAGCCTTACTAGTTGTGGATACTTTATTATGTTTCCTATCCACTTGATTCTAAAGAGTCTTCACTGCATGTGCTACATTGTAAAGACTCGCTAGACTAATTGATAAGTTTGTACCTTCTTATAACATCACAGTCAGTATCCAAGGAGTCCCACAGGGTAGGCTGGAGTTACAGGAAATGTTTGTCTCTGCCATTGTCGGTCCCAAGCATGGATGAGAAAGAATGAGGTTTGAGTGTGGGACTAGCTCCCCCCCCCCCCCCTCGAAAATAAAAAAATATATGCTACAGAAACTTGTAGAATAGGTAATGGTTTTGGCAAACAAACAGTTGTAGAAGATAGAACAAAAACAAAAGAAGAAACTTCTTTTTCATCACTGTCCAAGTGACGTAATTGTGTTGTGCCTGTTTGCAGAAAAGCTGTGATATTTACAGGTATTTGGCCGACATTTAAACCTTTTGTTAACCATGTTAACCTTCCAGTTAGTTTGAATAGAAGAATTAACTGTAGGCCCTATATAATGTTTAACAGCCCAGCATGATTAATGATGATCTAGTACTACACTACCAATCTGAAAAACATTTATAGACAGGAATGGCTAAACCAGAAGGCTACTCTTTTGACAAGGCTCACTACACAACCAGAGCAATGTGGTTAATAAAAGTCAAGTAAGGGCCCTTTTCCAGGCTTTCAGGCATATTGGGCATAGAGGGATAGACCTCTATTTTATAGACCAGTCGGCACTTGGTGGGTGATGTGGTCAGCATCATGCCGGCCACCTTTACTTCCCAGGACTGCACCTGGTACCGAGTAAAGACTGGGTCGACCTCGGAACCAGTGTCATTTTAGAAAACAGTCTGGCTCCATCAGGACCCGAACCCACGGCCTTCTGATCCGCAGGCAAGCATCTAGCCGCTACACAGAGGCGACTGCCAATGTGGTTGAGGGAATGTTCAGTCACCATTTGTGTGTAAGGGCTGTCTGAACCCAGGACCACTTTACTGGGAGGAATTTGTGCTAGCCACTATGCCACTGTGTGTTTGTTGTGTCTGTGTATATTTCTGTGTCATTGTTTCTGTCATCTGTCTGCCTGTCAGTCTGACTACCTTATGTGTGTGTCTTGTGTGTGTGCCATCCGTCTGTGTTTTGGGCATGTAGATGCGTGAGCATAATTTTTAAAGTTCTGCTATGTTAGAAGAATCAGTGGAGTACTGTTAATTTGTGTCTATCAGTGAAGTTCTGTGACAGGTGAAGAATCTCTGAAGTTCTGTCACAGGTGAAGAATCTCTAAAGTTCTGTGACAGGTGAAGAATCTCTGAAGTTCTGTCACAGGTGAAGAATCTCTAAAGTTCTGTGACAGGTGAAGAATCTCTAAAGTTCTGTGATATTTCTAGAATCTCTAAAGTTCTGTGATATTTCTAGAATAATAGCGACATGGCGGGGAGACCACACGCTCCGACGCAGGTTAGCAATAGTGTTCTTACGATTAAACTCACTGCTGAGCGTATCCCCCGCATAAATAGGGGGCTAAACTAGATGGCTGGTACTCATGAAGAACAGCTACCGCATCTCCTGCAACTTCCTCCAATTTTTTGCTCGTGAGTCCCAGCCATCTCGTTTAGCCCCCTATCTGTACCGCGCGTAGTGGCGTGGGAGATACTCTCAGCGGTGAAAACTGCGTTACCATTGCGGCTCCGATCATATTTAGACAAGTTTCAATGGTGCCACAGCCACAGAGAGCAGATTTTCAGGTATTTTTTGCAACTTCTGTGCCACTATTTTAAGATATTATCGCTAAGTAGTCGATTTTGTGATTTTCCTTTTTTTTTTCATTCCTCATTATTTTCGAGTTCAATTTTTGAATGTTTACGACACATGACCTAATGAGGCCCTGTCAGGGTGTGTTTTTGGCCGCCATAATATGCGGCCGTTATTCGGAGGATAGCCGATCTGGGTTATTTTTAGAACCCGTTCTATGGTAACTGTAGAATTAGTGAAGTTCTGTGACTTTTATAGAATCAATGAAGTTCTGTGATATTTGTAGTTTAGAAGTTGATTCTCTGTTCATTTATTAATTGCCGTCAGCTTGCCTATTTTTTATTTAGTTCTATGTGATTGCAGCTCTGTCAGATCTGCTAGAGGATGACACTGGAGAAGAATGTTCATGCTGGAAAAGTCAGGACATCACCAATGCAACCTCTAATGGTTCTGACAAGGACAAAGGTAATGAAACACATTCTTGAACAAACCACTAACCTAGATTTGGCTCTAATGATTTGATTTCCAAATTTATTATGTTTTATTTTGCCACCAGTCTTTTGATCATAGTAGAAGAAAATCCTCTGAATTTTCAGTCTGAAATTAATCCTCAGAAAAAGGTAATGAACTAGCATCACAGAACTTGGAGCATTCCCATAAGAGCTTTATCCCTATCTTCAGCAGACAGTGCTAACTTTCAGAATGAATAGCGCCACTTGTAGATTATTTGTCCTTCTTTTTCCATGACTTTTCACCACACCTCTAATTAGTAACCTTTTACAGTTTGGTTGTTGGAGGAAAAAAAGAACAGGGGGAGGGGGAGGTGAGTATATTCTTTTTTCCCTCTACAGTGGGGCTCCGGAACTTGCAAAGGGACTTTAATTGGAAATGAAATGATGTTATTTTATATCTGTCTAAATCCTTCTTACTTTAGGGTTGGGATGCTGGTATTCAACATCTGTTATTTTCTTGTTGTTGTTGTTTTTGCATGTTCTCATTACTGATTACATCTACAGACAAGATGATTGCTGGAATTGTTGGTCACAGCAATGGTCAGTCGGAAACTGTTGAAATAGAAACCAGGTCACAGGGTCGCCGGAAGTCTGATGTCTGGGTAAAGGCAGGTCAGTACTAGGTGTTTGCACCTCAACCTTTCCTGTAGTACTTGAAGATTTTGATTACCGATATCACAGAACTCTGGTAGACACTTCACAACTCACTCTCGAATTACAGTCGTAAAATATGCCAGGGTTTTCCGAGCATGCTGTTTTGTTTCTAGATGTTTGCCTGCTGGCTGGTCGAATGTCTTGGGTTCAAATCCGCTCCTCCTCTTGTGGGTTCGTGGGCCTGATTTTGGGGAAAAAAAGGATAGACCCACTGCTGCCCAACAGGCATGTTGTACAAGGCAACTAACTAGGGTTGTTTCCTTCGGTTGAAGTGCATCTGACTGAGAGGCAGGGAACCAACAGTCTGCATACAAATGAGCCAGATCTGTAAAATGGATGTGCATGCAAAACTCAAGTTCTGGAACAATATCAGAGTCCAGAAGTGGGCAGACAATCAGAACTTTCTAGCAAAACCCACATGGGGAAATTATTTTAGTGAATTGCCAGCTGCTGTGGAGCAGCGGACTTCATGCCTGTCTGCTCAGTGGTCTTTAGGTTCAACCCCCCTGGGTGTTTAAATAAACTTCCTAAAATTAAAAAGATTCTTTTGCTTCCGTATCTGTTCCTGTAGATTGTGATGCAGAAAGAGAACTAGATACCTGCCTCAGGAAGGAGGAGATCTTTATTTTTTGTACAGATCAGGAAAAAGTTACAACAGGAGCACATTATGTCAGTAGGAAAGCAAATGGAAGAAACACAGACTCAGCCCCAGAGAAAAGATGTTGGACTTTTTTCATCATACAGTAGAAAAACATCTTAATTGGAAGTGATTTCCCCTTTTGGGTTCTGGAGTCTCATATGGGGAAGGGTGAAGGGGGGGGGGGGCAAATAGACCCAGAGCGCCCCCTCCCCAACAAGCTTGTCATAAGAGGTAACTAACTAAGTATTTTCTGAAACAGGATTAGTTGAGCTGCAAGTCACACACACGCAAAATGTGAGTTTGCTATCCTATAAAGGACATTTCAGAACCAGCCTCACTATTTTTAAGCTGTTTGTGATTTCACCAGGCAATTTTGTGTTCTATGCTTTCTGAAGTGTCAGCCCTTCTTACCACTATTGTAACCAATGCAAGACGGTCTGCTGCCCAAATCTGGGATGAAACCAGGCACATCAGAATTATGAAGTGCTTTCGCAACACCTAAGTTACAGATACCGACACTCATTACAGCCTAGCTGTAAACGATTAAAAAAACATGCCTACCTACCTGTTATGGGTGTACAGAAGAAGAATTGAAAATGATTGACAGGTCATGTGACAGAAGGCTGTAGATAGACATGACAACCAACACTACATGGCATGGACTGTACAAAGTATCTTATTTTTTTTTCATGTTTAAGGCGATGTTTTCCAAGAATTTTTAGTTTAAAATTGTAGGTCTTCTTATACGCAGAAGTGTTTGAAATATATTTTTCTTAATTTTAGAAATACGGGGGGGGGGGGGGGGGGGGGGGGGGGGGGGGGGGGGATCTTATCTGGATGGGGTGTCTTATACACAGAAAATATACAGTAATTGTTTGCTTTCAGGTGAAAGTCAGGCTGTCTCCACGAAAGGCAGCAGAATTATGGCTCCTGATGGGGAAATTATCAGTGTAGGTGGCGCTATTCTCCGTGGCAGTGGACAAGATCTAGATGTTGGGGCCTTGGGTGATGGGCATAGGCAGCAGGAGAGTACAGGTTGGTCACATGTTGATCCTGTAGAAAGACTGTGGATATTTCCTCCTTTTCATTAAAGAATGACTGAATGAAGAATTGATATAACTACACTCTGGACATTCCTGCACGTGTTCAGTCTCCTCCCTATTATAATATTTCCTCCTTTTCATTAAAGAATGACTGAAGGAAGAATTGATATAACTACACTCTAGACATTCCTGCACGTGTTCAGTCTCCTCTCCTATTATAATAGGGTAATATTTGAGAATAAATAGTAAAGTAAAGGACTCTTTTCCACACCTTCAGGCATACTGGGTATATAGGGCTAGACCTCTATTTTATAGACCAAACGGCACTTGGTGGGAGATGTGGTCAGCACTGCGCGGCCACCTTTACCTCCCAGGACTGTACCTGGTACCCACTCAGGGCTGGGAGCCAAAGTTATATTTGAAAAAATTCAAGACCCGAAGCCAAGACCTTCCGACCAGGCAGCTCCCAGAACAAATGAATTATATGAAATATTTGTTCACAGCAAGAAGCAAGAATTGACATCACTGACTTCTAGTTAGCATATTCTCACATGTGCTCCGTTTTGATAGTTTGATTCTTGGAAACAAGTGAATTATCTAACATACTTGTCCACAACAACAACATACTTGTCCACAACAACAACATACTTGTCCACAACAACAACATACTTGTCCACAACAACAACATACTTGTCCACAACAACAACATACTTGTCCACAACAACATACTTGTCCACAACAACAACATACTTGTCCACAACAACAACATACTTGTCCACAACAACAAGATACTTGTCCACTACATGGGGGATAAGGAAGGTCTTGGCAACGTCGATAGTAAGTCAAACAATGGACCTTTCCTACATCAATGGCACACTGGGCATATGATGTTAGACTTATAGTTTTATAGACCAGTCAGCACTGATGTGGTTCAACATCATGCGGGCAGCCTTTACTTCCAAGGGCATTATCTGGTACACATTTAAGGCTGGGTTGACCTCTGAGCCAAGGTAAATTTTGAAAGACAAAATCTAACTCCATGTGGAGTCAAAACCCGTGACCATGGAGGGAAGGAAACGTGGAAGGAGACCAGCAGAGATAATGTTGGATAGGTTAGTGTCATGGCATGAAGTAACATCTGTATCAGAAATGATTGGCAGCAGTGCATGACAGGGAACTTAATGACACACACTGCAAAGTCTGTAGAGAAAAGAATTATAATGGGAGGAAATTTCAGATCAACATGTATTAGTAAATTGAAGCTAATTCCCTTAGATTAACTTGTAACAAAAGATGTCACCATATGCCAGCAGCACAGGTTGTTTGAAATGCCTTGTTGAAATACTGAAATAAAATACAAACAATACATTTGACCTAATCGGGATTTATAGAGTCTCAAAAATGTCGCAGATATTTAATATTTAAGCTCAATAGCAACTGAACAAACACAGTCATGTGGGTTAAGGGGCCCTATTATAGGGAAAACAAGAGTAGACCCAGGGCCTACCACAAAGACTCTTAGTCCAAAAGCACGTCGTAAGAGTCGACTAATTGCGAGCTTCCTTCGAAGTCGTAGTGCATCTGCCTGAAAGGCAAGGAACCAACAGTCTGCACACAAATGTGTCAGATCTGTCAAACGGATGCACACACAACACTCAGGTTCTGGAACAGGACTGCAGTCCAAAAGTGGACGAACAACCAGAACTTTCCACCAAAGTTTACAGCTGATGAACGCAAAGAAGAAGAAGAAGAAGATTTGCTTTAGCAATGCAGAGACTAAATAGCATGCAAAAGATATGGCACAGCACCTGCAAGTGAGCCGAAAGTAAGACAAAATATAATGCATCTTCCCCGTAGCAACTTGTGGCTGTGTGTCATGGATTCTTACACACAAATTTACGAGAAAAATGTGAGCTTGTGAACTGAAATGCTACAGAAACTTTCTTAGAATACCATGGACCAAGAAGAAAAAGAAGAAGAAACAGAGACATCCTAGATGATGTGATCATTGAGAAGAATTTGGCTCATAAACAGCATCCTGTCTGGAAAGCTGAGGTATTTTGCCCATGTTAAACATCAGGGTGGCCCACAGAGAACAGTGATGGGGGGGGGGGGGTGTATAGTTTCCTTAAAATAATGTAGGGGTAGAGCTCCACGAATGTGGATACAAGACCTTGAAGATGTATTGGCTATGAAAGCACCTAGGGCTGGAGAGTTGGCTACAGAAAGAAAGACTTTCAGGCCTACCGTGACGAGTGCGACATCCTATCTGTTGATTGAATAGAGTCTCGGCTACTAGAGCTAGTCTAAAACGACTATGGTACACTTCAAGTGATTTTGAGCAGCTTCAATAGGTGCACTGTTTACTAAAGAGTCATGACTGAGCAAACAATAATAACAAATAAACAAACATATTTGACATCTTATCCTCCATGTTGTAGACACCAGCAGTGTCAAAGTCATCATGAATGGTGTCAAGGTTTGTGAGCCGGCTGAGAACCAGAAAGAAAAGAAGAAATCAAAAATTCTACCCAGAATCAAACGAAACAAGAACACTTTAAGAACAGGTAGACTTACTGATTGTCTTTGACCTGTGTATCAGTCAGTGCTTACTAACTTCCTGACTTGCTCTCAGTTCTTCTTTTAGAGCATGATGTGTTTGGGGCATTGGTAATCATATCTGTGCAAAGTCTCCTGTTTCATTTACCATCTGTCATTTCCGACACAGTTTAAAAAAAAATTATCTGTAGATTGATTTTTTCGCTGAATTTTGCACATAGTGGTCGTAATTTATAGTTCTTCCATGCCATGGAGCCAGACTGTTCCGCAACTTCTCTTGTTATCTTCTTCTACCTCTCTTTTCCTCCAGCTTTTCTGTAGTCATGATGCACTCCAGTTTTCCCACTTCTCCTCCAGCTTTCCTGTAGTCATGATGTTCTTCAGTTTTCCCATTTCTCCTCCAGCTTTCCTGTAGTCATGATGAACTCAAGTTTTCCCATTTCTCCTCCAGCTTTCCTGTAGTCATGATGCACTCCAGTTTTCCCACTTATCACAGCGTGAATTCAAATATTAACTGTTGCTTTCTGACGCTATCATCCCGATGGATATCATTTATCAGACACGCATAGAGAAGTTACTGCCATTAGATTCAGGCCTGAACACAACATTCACAATAGCTACAGGTGTGTACAATAGCTACATGTGTGTACAATAGCTACAGGTGTGTACAATAGCTACAGGTGTGTACAATAGCTACAGGTGTGTACAATAGCTACATGTGTGTACAATAGCTACAGGTGTGTACAATAGCTACAGGTGTGTACAATAGCTACAGGTGTGTACAATAGCTACATGTGTGTACAAAAGCTACAGGTGTGTACAATAGCTACAGGTGTGTACAATAGCTACAGGTGTGTACAATAGCTACATGTGTGTACAATAGCTACAGGTGTGTACAATAGCTACATGTGTGTACAATAGCTACATGGGTGTACAAAAGCTACAGGTGTGTACAAAAGCTACAGGTGTGTACAATAGCTACAGGTGTGTACAATAGCTACATGTGTGTACAATAGCTACATGTGTGTACAATAGCTACATGGGTGTACAATAGCTACATGGGTGTACAATAGCTACAGGTGTGTACAATAGCTACATGGGTGTACAAAAGCTACAGGTGTGTACAATAGCTACAGGTGTGTACAATAGCTACATGTGTGTACAATAGCTACATGGGTGTACAAAAGCTACAGGTGTGTACAATAGCTACATGTGTGTACAAAAGCTACAGGTGTGTACAATAGCTACAGGTGTGTATAATAGCTACAGGTGTGTACAATAGCTACATGTGTGTACAATAGCTACATGTGTGTACAATAGCTACAGGTGTGTACAATAGCTACAGGTGTGTACAATAGCTACATGTGTGTACAATAGCTACATGTGTGTACAATAGCTACATGTGTGTATAATAGCTACAGGTGTGTACAATAGCTACATGTGTGTACAATAGCTACATGTGTGTACAATAGCTACATGTGTGTACAATAGCTACATGTGTGTATAATAGCTACAGGTGTGTACAATAGCTACATGTGTGTACAATAGCTACAGGTGTGTACAATAGCTACATGTGTGTACAATAGCTACATGTGTGTACAATAGCTACATGTGTGTACAATAGCTACATGTGTGTACAATAGCTACATGTGTGTACAATAGCTACATGTGTGTACAATAGCTACATGTGTGTACAATAGCTACATGTGTGTACAATAGCTACATGTGTGTTCACAGTTACAGATGCCTAGGATTTTCTTCTAAAATCAAAGGTTACATAGTTAATTTGTTAGTCAACAAATTATTATAATTGCACATCGAAACCATTTAGCCCATAAATGTTTGAATCTCCTCCTCGGTAAATCCTGCAGTTTTCAGCGGATGATGACATCAGTACAATGTTGGTTTCAATTTGAATTCTTCTCTGGCTTCCATCATATTGCTCTTGTCTGGCCACACCCCCTGTTAACATAAAATAATTAATTTACTACAACATGACAAAGCTAAAAACCTTCCTAGAGAAAAAGTATTGGCTGTATAGGAACATATAATATATCAAATTAAAGATAAATAAATTTACAATAATCTAAACTATTTGAGTTTCAGTATTACATAACATAATTTTAAAATGACACAACATTCAAGGATGTTAGACGCATATGAAGATTTTTTACACATAAACTATTGTGCTTAACTTCCTTTTTTTACTTGTTCAGCTACACTGCTATCCATTTCTACGAATTCACATGCCTCCTCTGCTCAGTTATGTATCATCTAGTGTTTTTTGAAACAGTTAATCTAAATACTTTGAATTTTATGACCATTTTTGTATTAGATGTCAGATTTCACAAAAACCTAATTCTGGACACATCTGATCGAAACAGGGACGATCTGATTGAAATATTTTGTTCAGCTTCATCCTGACCTTTATTATCAGCAGTAGGTTTGAGACTTTGCACTATTAATCATAATATTAAGACTATTATCAATATATATGAGAAATATATGAGAAATGTCAAAAATGACCAGACTTGTGACAGTTATGATCCGCTCAAAACTGGTGGCAACCCTATTCCGGAACTCCGCTATGCAGATGACACAGTCTTCCTTTCGAACAGCGTAAAGGGAATATAAAATTTAATATTGTCCGTCCAAAAGCACAATGAAGATCAAAATCTGTTCTTTAATTTAAAGAAAACGAAAATAATGTCTACAGATAAAACTGGCCATCACCCAAAAATAACAATAAATGATGAAGAAATTGAAAATGTCACAAACTATTAATATCTAGGCTCTATAATAAACAACAATGGAGACTGTTCGACAGAAATTAAAAGAAGGATGGCCATAGCAATGCAAAGATTGAACAGCCTTAAAAGTCTATGGTTAAGCACCAGCAAGGAGATAAAAATTAGAATTTTGAGAGCATGCATCTTCCCTGTGGCTATATACGGATGTGAGTCATGGACTATCTCTCAGTCCTTAAGAAAGAGAATAGGGGCTTTTGAACTGAAATGCTATAGAAAGATTCTCAGAATATCTTGGACAAAGAAGATGAGAAATATTGACATCTTAAAAGATCTGAACATCAGGGAAAATTGGCTAATAAACAGCATCCTTTCTCGAAAGCTGAAATATTTTGGTCATATCAAGCGCCACGACAGATTGGAAAAAATTATAGCAGAAGGCATGGTTTCAGGAAGGAGGTACAGGAGCTGACCGACACGAAGATGGGCACAGGATATAAGTGACTCCTTGAGTGTGAAAGTTCATGAGGCGGGAGAACTGGCAAGAGAGCGAGTTTCTTACAGGCAGACTGTGATGAGAGCGACGTTCTGTAAAGGACCTGCTACATGAGGTGATTGTCAATATCTGGGTCAGATTCATCATTGACAGCAGCAGTATGGACAGTTCTAGACCTTTTCCCTTATCATTTGATCTGGAATTGTTTCACACTGAATTAGTTATAAAACAAATCAAAATAAAACCCATCACCTTGCATGGAAAATGATAGTACTTCCTTTCACTAATTCAAATTTTTCAAAACATGTTCATACAAATTAATTTTCCTAGGAAACGAAACCATAGTAGAATGTTTGTGCATGAAATTACTCAAGTGGTGATCTATCCAAACATGATGGATTCAGAAGCCACTAAAGTGGTGATATGTCTGCAGAGATTTAAGTTTGTTTCACACAGTTATGTATAGTTGAGCTTTTCCACAAAATTACATATATTTAAGTTTTTTTTCCCCACAAAATTACATATATTTAAGTTTGTTTCACACGATTACATATTTTTTGCAGTTTTATTTATTGATGTTTAAGTAGTTTTGCTTTATTAAATTGCTTGTTACTTATTGGATAGTTTCAGATTCTGGGCCAGAAGTGGGTCATGTCACAGAACATGCCATTGTGGACATGTTGACCAGTCATGCCAGGTTGGTCGCTGAAAACATCCTCAGTCAGCCCTCTGCTGGCGTCGACTTGGAAACAGATGTTAAGGTAATGTCTGAACTTCCAACCTTTTCCTCACATTGGTAAAATGTTTAATTTCACTCTGACATATGTCAGAGATTACCTTATGGGAACAGATGTCAGTGTAATGCCTGAACTTCCAACCTTTTCCTCACATTGGTAAGATGTTTAATTTCACTCTGCCATATGTCAGAGATTACCTTATAGGAACAGATGTGAAGGTAATGTCTGAAACTTTTGATGTTCCCCATGAACATTCGACCGTCCCTTTGGCTACTTTCCTAGCACCGATCACTAGCTCTGCCAGCAGGCAGACTAGGTTGCGGGATACTGATGAATTGCACCTATGCACTCCTCCAACCAAGGTCAAGACAGGAGATACTATAATCAACCTCTCATGAGAACAGAAGTGGAGGTACCTTGGAATGTCTGAGGACTGAGTATGGATGGGAATGCCCAGTGTGCAGTGACATCGATTGTGATAACTTAACAGTAAAAAGAGAGTTGTTGCTGGAGGAAACAAAAAAGAGGCAAGGGAAGTATTTTGACCATGTTAAATGACATAACGCTCTCATGAGAACTATACTAGAGGGAAAAGTTAAAGGCAAGAGGCAGACAGCAAAACAAGTAGGAGGATAACATCAAGAGATGGACAGACAGCAGTTGGAGAGAGAGTACATCCAGGGTGAGTGTGTTGGAGATCCACTGGAGCCAGCTTACCTTTGTTATTCATCAACATGGTGCAGCAAGTCTTGTGCAGTGCCTACTGCAAAGACTTTCAGTCCTTGAGTAAACTCCCTTGTCTCATGTGCGGTCGTACCTATGGTGTCTCAGATATCCTGGGTCTCCATGGCGAAGTGGCCAAGCTTCTGCCTCATGCTGTGAAGGTCTTGGCTTTGTTTCACAACTGCGTCATTCGGTTCACAAGTGCAGTTATTATGGAGACCCCCTTGGGATTGTTGCTAGAGCTGTGGTGTTTGTGCTTTATGCAACCTCTTAGAAGGTGCTAGCCATTTTACGATGAGAAACCAAGTCATACAGGACTTTAACCTTTAACCGTTTAGATATCATGTGCCCACCTGCATGCTTGGTTGACTTGGGGGGGGGGGGGGGGGGGGATGTCTTTGTTTTTCAGATACAGAAATCAACATTTATTCAGGTACAAAATTCTGCATATATTCAACAGATACAGTCATGTCATCTTCTTTTAGAACATCGTCAGAGCTCTCCAAACCCTGAATTCTGGCCTGAATTTTCTGCTACTCCATTTCGTGTAGAACCCTTGGCCACGGCTCTCATGTCCGGCATCAAGTCTTTCATTCTAGCTGAGGTCTTTTTTTATATATATATATTTATTTTTAGTAGAGCTTATGTTAAAAGGGAGTTGCTAAGGGTGTAGGGGCTAGAAAAGGGAGTTGCTAAGGGTGTAGGGGCTAGAAAAGGGAGTTGCTAAGGGTGTAGGGGCTAGAAAAGGGAGTTGCTGGGGTGTAGGGGCTAGAAAAGGGAGTTGCTGGGGTGTAGGGACTAGAAAAGGGAGTAGCTAAGGGTGTAGGGACTAGAAAATGGAGTAGCTAAGGGTGTAGGGACTAGAAAATGGAGTAGCTAAGGGTGTAGGGGCTAGAAAAGGGAGTAGCTAAGGGTGTAGGGGCTAGAAAAGGGAGTAGCTAAGGGTGTAGGGACTAGAAAAGGGAGTAGCTAAGGGTGTAGGGGCTAGAAAAGGGAGTAGCTAAGGGTGTAGGGGCTAGAAAAGGGAGTTGCTAAGGGTGTAGGGGCTAGAAAAGGGAGTTGCTAAGGGTGTAGGGGCTAGAAAAGGGAGTTGCTAAGGGTGTAGGGGCTAGACGCTCACCTGCGGATCGGAAGGCTGTGGGTTCGGGTCCTGTCAGAAATTTACTTTTTTTCAGAAATTACCTTGACCCCCAGGTCGACCCAGACTTGAATGGGTACCAGGTGCAGGCCTTGTAAGTAACAGTGACCTTCATGATGCTGATCACATCACCCACCAAGCGCTGATTGGTCTATAAATTATAGGTCTGGCCCTATATGCCCAATACACCTGACTGCCTGGAAAAGGCTCCTTTTTTAAATATTAAAAAAAAAATCAGGCAAGGGCGTTTTTTTTTTTGGAGTGGGTTTTATTTTGGGGGGAAACAGTGTAATGTCAACATTGCCTGGTGCATGTTGTGTGAGGTCTGGCTGTAGAATAATAGAGTATAAAACAATACTGACAATGTCCACCTCTTGTAGCTAGCGGCTGAGTTGTGGTCACAGATGTATCCTACCAGGCCCCTGTCGAAGGTCACTTACATCGGTGACAACCATGCAGTAAGATGCCACTGCCATTTCTGTAACCAGTTTTTAAAAAAAAATTATCTGTAGATTTTTTTTCTTCAGAATTTTACACATAATGAGCCTAATTTATAGTAAATGAGTGTTTTTATGTAGGGCTTAGTGTTATTAATTTCAAAGTGCATTTGCTGTTTTCTTCATATTTCTATTTCATTAACAAATTTTCCGCGGATTTTGTTTTATATTTTCCTGTAGTAGCTATTCTTTACATGCAGAATCAACTTTATCTGGTGGATGGTTTTTAAAACTGCAAATAATTTTCAGTTATTGTCATATAAAGTAGCCTTAGATTTATTATTGCTGCTTTTTCAGAATTGTAATATCTTCTTTATTTTAGCATTCACTGGGTATAAACTCAGGAGAACCCGTTCTTTGTTCTGTATTTCCATGTGGGACGAATTTTTGGTTATTTTGAAGCCCCACCCTGGCTGTTGCCAGGGGTCCTAATATAGCCTAACGGTTGAACGAGGTTTCTGGGACCTCTCAATGGGTGATCCTCATCCGAATGGTGGCACTTTGTGTCACCAGTTGTTTATCGCTCGGTGTGATGTCCTGGTGGGGTGAAAAGTCAGTCAGTCTTTGTTCTCCAGAATGGAGCCACGAAAGCCATATGGGAAAGATTTTTTAAAATATAACTTTATCATTCTTTTAAGTAATTATAGTTAGGAAATAAAAATGATGGTTAAATGAGAAAGGAGGAATTTATTTTGGCAAGTTTTATCCTATATGGCTGTCTCTCTTCGCAGAGTAAATGGTTGCATGCAAGAGTGTTGCATAAAACATAGACTCCATAGCTCCAGTGACCACCTCCAGGGAACTCTGAAACAAAACAGAGTTACGTATAGTTAGGAATCAACATCACAGCACTTAGGAAATTCTCATAAGTGCTCTGTACTCAACTTCAGCAGCAAGAACAAAGTTTTAATTCAATGGTACCAGTAGCAGTCTGATTGTATATCCGTCTGGCCTTTCCTCTGAGTGTTGAGTGTCGGCCAGGTCCTCTGATCATACCATGCTGTATCTTTCTCTTCACACTGTGATAATCTGTTTGTGCCTCTACACTGTTCACTGCCATCCAAAGGTCATTGACAACATCTAGCTGGTTATGCATCAGTTTACTACCAAGTGGTGCAGAACCGGCCAGTCTGCCTCTCTGTCTGTTTCCCATCACACCAGGATGCCTTGGCAAACATTCCCAAAAGAGGCTAATGACCTGGGACTTCTGAAGGATGCTTGCCACTCTGCAAAGAGCATACCTGTCTCTAACTTTCTTAGCATGCTGTGTGAGTCAGTTACAAACACAACATGTACTGCTGGTTCTCAGGCCAGTGAAGGCTTGACTGCTTCAACCTCCATTCACAAACTAAATGTTATGATATCATATACCAGGCTTTACTGCACTAAAGGTCATCCATCCTTTTGTCTTTATTATGAACCCTCATCCACTTCTTCAGCCTGTCAGCAGAGCCATCTGTACTGATCACCACATCACCTGTTTCGGAATTATCACAAATCGTTTGAACTTGTGATTCTGCAGTACCCCGTAGCCAAACAAAGGACAGGGTTCCGACTTGAATCAACAGCCTTCAGAGCATGAGGCAGACAGCTTAATGACTTTACCACAGAGACCCTGTAGTGAAGGGATTAGAACAGTGAATTTGTCAGCCAAGAAACATGAAGATCAACATTTATTTTTGAACTTTATCAATGAGCTCCACAAAATAATCCTTGACACTAGCTCATTATACTATATAATGTATAGTTATTCTGTTTGTGGCTTAGGTGTTGCGAAACACACTTCATAGTTTTGAAGTACATTGTTCGATCCCAGCTATAGGTGACTTGGCAGCAGACCACTTTGTGTTGATTACAACAAAGGTATTGTGAGCCGACTGTTCAGAAAGCAACGGCAGTCTACTGAACATAAACTTGCCTACATGCCCACCCTGTGTGGAAACTCGTGTAGAGGATTCTTTATCTTGTTCTTGTGTTGCTTGTTGAAAGAGACTTAGGTATAAAGGTTATATTGTTTCGGTGTATATTTCCCCTTCCCCACCCGCTGAGCTTCCGAAGCATAGCTCAGCAAATTAAGTTTTTTTAACATCAGCCACTACGGTACCGGCGCTGCCATTTGACTGAATTTCACCATTTTCATTAAGGCAGTTTTCTGTCTTTGTAACATTCTGTCCTGTTTCTGTGTTTTCTGTGAGGACGTTTCACATAGCCGGATATATTTGTTGTCTGCCTTTCAGACTGCATTAGATCATTGTTTTTATCCTTCTATTGTAACTTTGTGTCTCATTTTTTGTTGCATTCTTTTCTGAAATGGCGTCGCACAGAGAGCCGTTGTACGGATGCAGGTAGTGCAGGAAAAGCCTGGCATGTTTTACTGTGCTTACATTTGTTTTGTCTCTTTCAGTGATCTTCAACCTTTTTAAGTTCATGCCCCCATGAGTATATGGCAAGACACCCCTCCCTCTCCTCCCTCCCCCAATATAACAAAATGTAATTAATTAAAAGAGGAAGACATTTAATTTAGCAACAAGTGAAACAGACAATATGAAGATAAGTTTTGGTCACAATTATTCTTAATATATAAATGCCTCTGATATCATATTAATTATATTTTAGCTGTAGGTATACGGACTGTTTTTGTTCATTTATAATTCAACCAAAAAATAATACTGCAGATTATTACAAATACAAATGCAGTCAATTTCAGAATTGCTTGACGCACCCCCCACCACCAAAGGCTGAAGACCACTGATCTACTTATTGATTATTTATTTTGGTTCTGCTTAGTCTTGGTCACTGCATTAATATTTCTTTTTGCAAGTATTTCATTTTGTCAGTCTCTCACTTCGTTTTGCTTTTCATAATTTACTGGTGCATGTTACTGTTTCATTTTATTTGTGTAGACTAGTGAACAATATGTAAGATATTTTTTTTATAAAATACTTTTTTGTTGATGACGTAGAATGTGTAGTAAATGTTTGAGGCTTATTTGTCAAGTCACAGTTATCTGAATCTCTACCACTTTCTGCTCATATCCCTGTTAATTCATTATCAATCATGACCACAGTTGCCATATATTGTTGTTGTTGATCTCTCCAACCATCTTTTTTGTTATCATCATCATTTCCTACATTGTAGCTTTTATTGTTGTTGTTGTAATATATATAGAGACTCAGTTATGCCACTGCTGTATGATGTGTTTTGGGCAAATTTTGTTTTGTAATTATCTTAGATAGCATGAACATCTTCTGAGTGTATTAAAATTTTTATTTACTATGTGAAGTATATCTCTGAAGAAGAGTAGTATGCCCCGCTAGCATGTGAATTATAGGAAGTATATCCCACCAGTATGTGAAGTATACCCCACATGTATATGAAATACATCCCATCAGTGTGTGAAATATATCCCATCAGTAGGTGAAATATATCTCACCAGTAGGTGAAATATATCTCACCAGTATGTGAAATATACCCCACCAGTATGTGAAATATATCCCATCAGTATGTGAAATATATCCCATCAGTATGTGAAATATATCCCACTAGTATGTGAAATATATCCCATCAGTATGTGAAATATATCCCATCAGTGTGTGAAATATATCCCACTAGTATGTGAAATATATCCCACCAGTATGTGAAATATATCCCACCAGTATGTGAAATATATCCCATCAGTACATGAAGTATGTCTCATCAGTATGTGGAGTAAATCCCACAAGATGTGAACTATATCCCATTAGTATGTGAAGTATGATTGTATTGAAATATATTACCAGTGTATACAATAAGGATAACTTAGCTAAAACAAATTTTAAAATCTTAAAGTTTTAACAATTTTGCTATAGTGCATTTTAATGAATGTTCCAAATTTTTGTTATTAAAAAGAATTAACTTTCTTGAATTGGTCATTGTGAATGAGGATGTCTTTTACCCTGCATATTAGATTGGAGTCTGCTAATAGTGAAATACCTAAAATCTGTCTAGGATTTACACCAGCCTAGGCCTAATCCTGACCAGTTGAGGCCAAATCCTGATCACTCTAGGCCTAATCCTGACCAATTGAGGCCAAATCCTGTTCACTCTAGGCCAAATCCTGACCATCTAGGCTTGGGAAAGTTTTTGGGTATCTGCTGATCCTGCATGCAACCATACATTGTTACAGAGAACAATCAAGCTATACGCGGTGGACTGTCTAGTCAACTGTTACAATTGTAAGAAGTTTATCACTGGGCATTGCCTATCTGTAGTAATTGAGTGCCTGTTTGGCTATCACTAGATGGTAGTTGAAACTCTTGTAGCTATTGAAATCTGATGGGAAGTAACGATACCTGACTAATGGAGACAGTAGTTAACAGCTCCTGGCCATGCATAAAAGTACACTTATTCAGAGATACTGTCATCATTTAGAAGTCAAGTGAAAGACTCACAGTAAAAGGAAGGACCTGTGTTGCATTGGATATAGGATGCTAGCCAGTAGCTTTGTAGAGAGTTTGGCACTGGGTGAGTGATGTGCGCAGCTTCACACCAGCTGCCTTTACTTCCCAAGACAATACCTGTTATCCATTTTAGGCTGGGTCGACCTGCAAGCCAAGGTTAAATTAAACCAAAAAATTGTCACGATACAGATTTCAACCTGAGAGTTTTGGACTTGCAGGCAAGTGTCTAACCCCTATGCTACTGCAGCTTACTCTCATTTGGAAGAGCCACTTTCCAGTCTCTGCATGTTTACAATTCTATTTTTGTGTTGTCTAGTGTACTGTGTAATCTCTGCGACTTTTCTCCACTTTTCTGAGTGCCAATCAATACCTTTAAGTCAGTTATTCTTGCTGTGCCACAGGATGTGATTGATGAGGTGATGCGGAGCAGGTCCACAAGTAGTGAGTCTTCCTCTGCTGACGAGTACAAGTCTCGCATCAGGAAATCTCTGACAATAGCAGGTATATATTTTAAAGTTATTTATGTACCTCCCCGGTGGCCAGAATACTCTTCACCCTTTTCGTGTTTTATTTTTGTTATACAAAGGCTGCTGTGTGTGTATTTTTTCTCCCTTCCCGCCTTCGTTGTTGTTGTTATCGATCCTGCGGCGCATGGGCTTTCGCCCTTTAGCCCAATGCCATGTAGTGGAATTTGCATGTTTTCACAAGCTGCTCTTTTCCTCCGTACAAGGTGTTCCACTTGTCTGGTCTCGGAGGGATCTCGTTAAGCTTAGTCACAGTTTAGTGGATCAGTTTCATGATTGCAGTCACCTCTGTTTGAAGAGTTTTTGCAAATGGAAGACCAGTTTATTGTTCCCCCCCCCCCCACCCCAATTATTTTTGCCCTGGTTATATTCTTTACTATTCTGTGTAAACTGTTGAACTGAGGCCCTGTAAAGCAATAGACAATTCTTTTAATATGGAATAAAACCTGGTGCAATGATGTTGATCCTCTCGACTTTAACCTTCAACTTTAACCTTGAAAGTTATTTTAGCCAGAAACGCATCAGGTATACTGCTTGACTCATATTTTTATATAGCAGTTGGCACTGGGTGGGTGATGTGGTCAGCATCACGTCAACTGCCTTCACACCCAATTTTAGGTGCTGGGTCTGGGTCGACTTTGGAGCCAATGTCAGTTTTTTTTAAAAGTCTGATATGATGCAGATTTGAACCCAAGACCATCAGGCCTGACATGTCTAGCCATTCTGCTACGGTTCCTGTGGGAAGTCATGTTTCTCCACATCTTGTGATCTCAAAACAACATCTGTCAATTCCTATATTTCCCTGTGTGATCTCCTGGACCTAAGGAAAAATGGGTGGGGGCAGTAGGGGGGGGGGGAAGACCACTGCTCACTAATTTTCATGTCGTAGGAGGCAACTAATTGCAGGTGTTTCCTTTGAAGTCATAGTGCATCTCCCTGAGAGGTAAGGAACCAACATTCTGCATACAAATAAGCCAGATCTGTAAAATGAATGTGCACACAAAAATCAGGCTCTGAAACAAGACCAGAGTGCAGAAGTGGATGAATAACCAGAACTTCCTGCTGGAGTTTACAGCTCGTGAAGAAATGGTTCCTCTGTTGACACATTTCTGTGACTTGAGACAAGACCAGAGTGTAGAAGTGGATGAATAACCAGAACTTCCTGCTGGAGTTTACAGCTCATGAAGAAATGGTTCCTCTGTTGACACATTTCTGTGACTTGAGAAAAGACCAGAGTGTAGAAGTGGATGAATAACCAGAACTTCCTGCTGGAGTTTACAGCTCGTGAAGAAATGGTTCCTCTGTTGACACATTTCTGTGACTTGAGAAAAGACCAGAGTGTAGAAGTGGATGAATAACCAGAACTTCCTGCTGGAGTTTACAGCTCGTGAAGAAATGGTTCCTCTGTTAACACATTTCTGTGACTTGAGACAAGATTGTCAAGAAGTTTTATCTTGAGGCCCTGGAGGTGCACATGTACAGAACAATGGGTCATCTTTCATGGAATCAAAAATAATCAAATACAGATGTATCCCGACACCACAAAGTATCTAAAAAAAAAAAAGTGCTAGAACCTACCACACAGTGTCTGTTACAGTCGTACTAAAATAAAAATGTGCCAGGACTGCAAACCATTGGGGGAAAACAAGCTCTGAAAATAACAGACATGAACTTTAGGAATACATACAAGGTGGAGGTATGTTCACTTGAGGACATAGAACCTGGCGAGGAGTGCGTGCAAGTGCCTTCAGAGTGCTGTACATCTTTTTCTGTTTGCATCCAACTAGACAGAAAATGCAGACAACAGAGTCCTGCTGCTGTGGAAGCAGAAGTTCAAGGCTTGATTTTCAAGAACGCTCTAGAGGGTGACGCTGTCATTTACACAGATGGTTCTGTAATCTGCCACGTTAGAAGCTCGTGCCCTTTCACGGCTCAGGTTGGAGGGAGAGTTGTGAAGGAAAATTCTGGAGCTTTTGCATTAACTACAAGAAGTCTGACTATGGAGGTCATGGCTGTGACTAAAGCAGTAACATGGCTAGAGACACAGTCTTTCACTGAAGCATGCTTTCTCAGTGACTCGATGAGTATGCTCAGGTTGATAGAGACGGGCTGAGTCCGAAGGCAGTTGTTGGTGGCTCTACAGAGTTCACGGCTGACAAGGATTAGTTTCATTTTCATGCTAAATATGTGAGGGTACAAGGAAACGAGCAAACCAATAGGCTTGCAGGCAAGGTTACTGTGAAAGCCGGACAAGCCATGGACCAGGCTGATATACTGAATGCTCTGAGAGAATTAAGATGTTTGCGTGAACCAACTGAGAATTGTGAATCTGCAACCATGGTCATACTGCAAGAACAACATGTTAAACGGGGTGTCGCCAAACAAGAACACTACTCGGGTAGCCAAAGAAGAAGAATAAACCAACACAGAACTGGTGTCGTTAGCCGCTACACGCTGCAGGATTTACTGAGGAGGGGATCCAAGCACTTATGGACTGAGTGGTTCCACGTGCAATGAGGATAATCTGTCGACTAACTAACAAACTATTGTAACAGAAGAGTCCACAAGTTTCACCAACAGTATCTCACCTGAGTTTTTTTTTTTTTTACACCATCTCACCCTAGTTTTTTTTTGGTGTCTTTCGTTAAACCAACATCTCACCTGGTTTGTCTTTCTTTGACACCATCTCACCTAGTTTGTCTTTCTTCAACACCAACATCTCATCTAGTTTTTCTTCGACACCAGCTTCTTACTTTGTTTTCTTTCTTTGACACCAACGGCATTTCACCTCATTTGTCATTCTTTGACACCAACAACATCTCACTTACTTTGTCTTTCTTTGACATCAGCAACATCTCACTTACTTTGTCTTTCTTTAACATCAGCAACATCTCACTTACTTTGTCTTTCTTTGACATCAGCAACATCTCACTTACTTTGTCTTTCTTTGACATCAGCAACATCTCACTTACTTTTTCTTTCTTTGACATCAGCAACATCTCACTTACTTTGTCTTTCTTTGACATCAGCAACATCTCACTTATTTTGTCTTTCTTTGACACCAACAACATCTCACCTGGTTTGTCTTTCTTTGACATCAGCAACATCTCACTTACTTTGTCTTTCTTTGACACCAACATCATCTCACATGGTTTGTCTTTCTTTGACACCAGCAACATCTCACCAGGTTTGTCTTTCTTTGACACCAGCAACATCTCACCAGGTTTGTCTTTCTTCGACACCTAGTGGAAAATGGTCTACCCATTTGCCTCGTTTTCTTAAGGTCATGGGTTTGTTTCACAGTTGCGTCCTTGAGTCTACGAGTACAATTTTTACGGAGATCCCTGGGGACAGTTGCTACGGAGTTCGTGCTGTGTGCGGCGCTCTCTGCAGGTGGCTAGCCGTTCTGCGGAGAAAGACCGAGCCATATGGGATAAAACCCTGTACACCAAAGTTGTTTCTCTCAACTTTTACTCTTTTTATTTTTTTAACCAAGTGACCAAAATTGCTGGCCTTGACCCGGGTTCTGTGTCTGACGATGCAGAAATTAGTGTGGAATTGCTGGATGCTTTAGTCAGCCAACGGATGGGCCCAGACCAGATTGAAGTTGTTACAGACAGTGCTGGCCACACCAGGATACAGCCAAAGGCGGAGGTGTTGGAAGTCTTCACGGAGCCTCACATGAAGCATCCCGACTTGTCTTATCAACAGGGTTCGAGAACATAATTGTTTGTATTGTCATTGATATATGTTTTATATATATATATATGTGTGTGTGTGTGTGTGTGTGTGTGTGTGTGTGTGTGTGTGTGTGTGTGTGTGTGTGTGTGTGTGTGTGTGTGTGTGTGTGTGTGTGTGTGTGTGTGTGTGTGTGTGTGTGTGTGTGTGTGTGTGTGTGTGTGTGTGTGTGTGTGTGTGTGTGTGTGTGTGTGTGTGTGTGTGTGTGTGTGTGTGTGTGTGTGTGTGTGTGTGTGTGTGTGTGTGTGTGTGTGTGTGTGTGTGTGTGTGTGTGTGTGTGTGTGTGTGTGTGTGTGTGTGTGTGTGTGTGTGTGTGTGTGTGTGTGTGTGTGTGTGTGTGTGTGTGTGTGTGTGTGTGTGTGTGTGTGTGTGTGTGTGTGTGTGTGTGTGTGTGTGTGTGTGTGTGTGTGTGTGTGTGTGTGTGTGTGTGTGTGTGTGTGTGTGTGTGTGTGTGTGTGTGTGTGTGTGTGTGTGTGTGTGTGTGTGTGTGTGTGTGTGTGTGTGTGTGTGTGTGTGTGTGTGTGTGTGTGTGTGTGTGTGTGTGTGTTTTTGTGCATGTGCTTGTGCACGTGTGCTTATGTATGGTTGGGCATTTCAACTGTGGATACATCCTTGAAGGAAGATATGGCTGAATAAACTCATGGCCTGCTAATTTGGTCTAGCAGGTTAAGCTGATTTTGATATATTTGCATTTGTGCTTGATATAAGCTGTAATGAATGTGTGTGTCTGTGTGTGTGTGTATATATGCACACACACACATAGTAAAGTAATGAAAAGACAGAAAATGCAATGGTTCAGACATGTAATAAGATCCAACAGCCTCTCAAAAATAATAATACTGGGCTCAGTAGAGACGAAGAGGAGAAGAGGCAGACCAAGAAAGACCTGGATACAGAACTTGACTGACTGGACAGGCCCTAGTCATGCAACCGTGAAGTCCACTGCATCTGACCAACAAAGGCGGAAGGAGTTGATCAGATAATCAACTGGTAGTCTGGTAGCCTTAGTTTCAGCTTCATAGCAAACGGGTCGCCCCATCTTTGCTCCGCTCCTGTGCCAACGAAAAACATAATCAACAGCAGCTGGGACCCAGTGACACGCAGTTGAGCATGCTGGGACCTAGGGAGGAGATGGGTTGTTTTTGTTAAATTTGTTTGATGAGGATTGTTTTTGACAGCCTTTTATCATGGCAGTACATGAACTGATACATGCTGTTGGAGATCACAAGATGTGGAGAGGCATGATTGCCCATGCCAGTTGGTAAGGCACTTGATGATGTTGGGGATTTAAACTAGTGACTGCTATGCCACATAAGCAGGTATGCTAACTACTGCTGTCTGTGTATGAGGTTGCCTCTGTGGCCATTTCAGTGTCATGATGAGTGAACATCTTGAGCAGTGATGACAAGTTGAATGTCTTAAGTATTGGTAACAAACTGAACATCTTGAGCAGTGATGACAAGTTGAATGTCTTAAGTATTGGTAACAAACTGAACATCTTGAGCAGTGATGACAAGTTGAATGTCTTAAGTATTGGTAACAAACTGAACATCTTGAGCAGTGATGACAAGTTGAATGTCTTAAGTATTGGTAACAAACTGAACATCTTGAGCTTCTTCTTTTTCTTTCTTCTGCCTTTCTAACCCCCAGTGGAGCATAGGTCCTCAACCAACTCACACCAAATTATTATATCCTTCCTTATCACATGCAGCTCTCCCCATGTCCTCCCCATCTTTTTAATTTTGCTCTCTGGCTCCCTTTTCCATGTGTTATTCAGTTTTCTTTTATTTATGTGCCCCTGTGGGTTCCAGTGCAAAGACATTCTAGTTATATTGTTCTCAGTTTTCTCAAGGTGTGTCCTATCCAACGCCAGCGTCTTTTCTTCACCTATTGGTCCTTCTTGAGCATTGATGACACACTGGATGTCTCAAGCATTGACTGACGACAAGCTGATCTTTTTGAGCATTGATGACACACTGGATGTCTCAAGCATTGACTGACGACAAGCTGATCTTCTTGAGCATTGATGACACACTGGATGTCTCAAGCATTGACTGACGACAAGCTGATCTTCTTGAGCATTGATGACAGACTGAATGTCTTAAGCATTGACTGACAAGCTAGTTGACTGTTAATGATAAGCTGAAGCATTGTTTCTGCCACAAAATTGTATAAAATGTACTTGATTGTGTTCTGAATCAAGGTAGACAATGTAGCACAGGTGTGAACAGGTTGCCTAACATCACAAAGCCAGACCTAGTGGGTTTGAACTCTTTCAAATGTTACATCCTTAGAAAAGTTTCTGGAGCTACAGCATAGTGTGCTTGTCTGCCAAAACTCTGGGCTCAGTTCAAACCCTATTAGAGCCAGGATTTTTGTGTTCTGGACAGTAAGGATAGGAAATCTACCTAATACAAATGATGCAGGAAATTTTGGGCCTTTCCTGGGACTTTTGAGAAATAACAGTAATAAGAAAGAGAGCCAGGCATCTCAGTTCATAGCTGCTGGCCTACAGTATATGAAAAAATAACCTTCTTCATCCTGATGGCGGTTCCTGATGTAAGACTAGCTGTACCTGTGATCCCTTCGGAGAATGCATTAAAACAAGAAATGTTGAAATAATGTTACAGACACTGAGATCCAAACTCGAGACTACAGTCCTGTTCTGCATGAGCACCAGATACCTACAGAAGATGTTAGTGTAGATCAAGTTACAGAAGCAAGTGACTCCCAGCTCAGACAGTCAAAGGTCAGCCATCTTTGTGGTGTGGTCTTGTAAAATTATTTTTCCAGCACTGGTGGTTTTCTCTGGCAATATTTGATTGAGAATCTGCTGTCAATCAAATATCAAAAACCTGCCTGTTTGGGTTCTGTGGTTTCCATTGTTGGGGAGAAAAAAAAGAGACCCACTGCCTCCCTAAAAAAAGAGGTCAAAAGAGTCTACTAATTAATGATTTCTTTTGAAATCAGAGTGCATCTACCTGAGAGGCAAGGAGCCAGCAGTCTGCATACAAATCAGCCAGATTTGTAAAACAGATGTGCACTCATTAAGACTAAAGTCCAGAACTGGACAAACAAGCAGACCTTTACAGCTGGTGAATACAAAGAAGAAGAAGAAGAAGTGTCGAAAATCTGCTGAAGAAACATCATCGTGGGCCTGATCCCAGACTGCCTGGATGGACTGCAGTGGATCATGACCTGGTTACATAGTAATAAACTTCTGTGCACATCTACGGTTCCAGTACAAACCTTACATTAATCTCTGGTATTTTCCTACATTGGAGAAGAGAGGAAAAGCTCTAGATGGTTCTCTGCTAGGGAAAAAGGCTCTACTCTAACCTGATACTGACGGGCAGCAGGTTTTGTAAGAGCTCAGACAATTAGAATAAGAATTCATGCTGAATGTAGGGTATTTTGTTTTCTGTGCAGACCAGTTTCTTCTCATATTTTAACTTCAGTTTTCATTAGTTGCCGTCACTTTTAGGATATTAAATGCGGCTTTACAATCATGACATTCTGGTGTTTGAAGTCATCTGCAGATTATTAGGTAACAGGCCACTTAATTTTGATTTATACATGGTATGAACTTTGAACTGTCCAGAAAGCAATGGTAGACTACTGAACAAACTACACCATCTTTCTCTTGCTACATAATTCACTTGAATTTGTTCAGTTTTCTTCTGTGCTAACCACATTAACATTCATACATTTTTTGACTGATGTTTGTTGTTAAGGAAACAAAACAACCTGAACCAGAAAATTTGCCAGGACAAGAAGATACACAAAATTATCCGGGCCACAAATTGACACCTTTGGTGGTCAAAAAAGGCAGAAAGGTGACTCCAAGTGCATCAGGGAATGTGGCCAGGGACAAGAAAGTAGGCGGTAACAAGGTATCCAGATTTTGTGTGTGTGTATGGTTAAAATAAAAAACAAATCAACCAGTTCCTTTTGTCTGTATTCTCTTTCCTTAAACATCTGAAGCAGGAGAGGGACTTTTCTTCTTTGACTTTTCTTCTTTTTCTTCTTCTGCCATTCATCTCCCAGTGGAGCTGTTGTTGTTATTGATCCAGCGGCGCATGAGCTTTCGCCCTTTGGCCCAATGCCATGTAGTGGAATTTACACTCCCAGGGGAGCATCATTTATCTATTTACTTATACTAAGTTCTTTGTAGACTAATTAATTGTTGCTTGAGTTTCGCAGCAAGTTTTCTTTGGGATGAAGAAGCAAGTCTTGTGCCATCATTCCTTCTTTGTCATCTCTTTATAACATGCATGGTAGCATTTTAATTCAGAGTCACCAAGGTTTTTCTTTTATGGTCATTAAGTCTAGCCATTGAAATGAAAGAGTCTGCAAGTCTTTTGTAAATCATCTTGATTGGGTATTAGGTTCTCTCCCTCCTAAAGATCTTAATGTTCAGTACAGTTTTACCTAAACATTTTGAGTTACATCCCTTGCTGTAACCCCTTACCTGCCCACTCAATTTGTGTGTCACTTTCTGTCAAGTATCTATATCTTGCAACAACACACATACAAAGATGTGTCCACTATTCAAGCACAATGTGGAGATTTTGTGACAGACTTCACTGTAAAAATAAGTTACTTTATGTGTTGTTGCTTTTCAGTTGTATCAGAGCCTATTTATGTCATTTGCTGATGAAGGCTTTAGGCTTGTAGCTGCAACATTCATTTTGTCATTTGTAATTGTGGTATTGTGACGCTGACTGGTTCTACTTCTAGTTTGGATCAGTTTTTGTTTTTTTTCATGGTTGGCCCTCATTGCTCCAGTTTCTGATCTTTGCAGAACTTCTTCTTCTTCATGTTCACCGGCTGTAAACTCTGGCAGAAAGTTCTGGTTCTTTGTCCACTTCTGGGCTTTAGTCTAGTTCCAGAACCTAAGTGTTGCCTGCACATCGTTTTTACAGATCTGACTGATGTGTATGCAGGCTGTATAACTAAGAAGAACAACTAAGGACGCTTGTTCACGCCACAAAGCATATAGTGCTAGACCTATATTTTGTAGATTAATCGGCACTTGTTGGGTGATGTGATCATCATCATGCAAGCCACCTTTACTTTCCAGGACTTTACCTGGTACCCATTTTAGGCTGGGTGAACCTGGAAGCCAATATATGAGGATTTAAACCTACGATCTTGGGAGCTGAGAGGAGCATCTAGCTGCTACATCACGGTGGCTTAAGCTCTGTATTGGGGAAGGACAACCTGGTGAGAAACAAAACTGGTCATCTGATCTTACAAATCTCTGACTGAATACACATTCAGGGCCCCATGATGGAGGTCTACTGTGGTATTACCTTGACGTCTGTAAAGTTTCTTTTATCAGTACTTAAGATTTGGAAAGAGTTTTATTCTGCAAGCTTCATGTTGTAGAGAATTCTACTGTTTGGTTTTTCTTCCGACAGTCCAAGCATGTCCAGGGAGCATCACCAAAAAGTCAGACCTCCAAAAATATCAAGAGCAAAGACATGTTGGCTGACATCAAGGAGGAACCATTTGTTGTAGGTGAGTGTTTGAGGTGGTAACATCTAGGCTGAATCTGGCAAACTTGGACTCAGAGTTTTCTTACAGTGCAGTTTAGTCTTGCTAACGTGGATTGAGAGAGGTCTTACAGTACAGTGTAGTCTGGCTAACTTGGACTGAGAGAGGTCTTACAGTACAGTGTAGTCTGGCTAACTTGGACTTGAGAAATCTTACAGTACAGTGTAGTCTGGCTAACTTGGTCTGATAGAAGTCTTACAGTACAGTGTAGTCTGGCTAACTTGGACTTAGAGAAGACTTACAGTACAGTGTAGTCTGGCTAACTTGGACTTAGAGAAGTCTTACAGTACAGTGTAGTCTGGCTAACTTGGACTTAGAGAAGTCTTACAGTACAGTGTAGTCTGTCTAACTTGGTCTGAAAGAAGTCTTACAGTACAGTATAGTCTGGCTAATGTGGTCTGAGAGAGGTCTTACAGTACAGTGTAGTCTGGCTTACTTGGACTGAGAGACATCTTACAGCATGGTGTGGTCTAACACCAGCATAAAAGTTTATATAAACGACTAGAGGGATTAGATGTACAGCTGTTAAAATTTCTGGTCCTAATCCTAGTAAACTTGGTTGTACTGCCACTTCGAATGATTCTGTAAACCTACAGCAGTACACTTAAAACTAGCCCACCTATCAGCAGTCTGGGTATGACCATTAGGATTTACTAAACAGATTTACATCTGTTAAAAATCTGGGCACACCAGCAGGCCACACTAAATATCTTTTCAAAACTGGATGAAGTATAATTTAAACATCATAATTTTCTTCTTCTAAACATTCACCAGCTATAAACTCCAGTAGAAATTTCTGGTTGTTTGTCCACTACTGGACTTTTAGTCTTTTTCAAGAACCTGAGTGTTGCACATGCATCCGTTTTACAGATATGACTCATTTGCAGGCAGGTGCACTCCAACTGCGAAGCTCCCAATTAGCCGACTCTTACGACATGCTTTTGGGTAGATAGTGGGTCTATTCTTATTTTCCCTTCAGTATGGCTCCGGAACCCACACAGGGAAAAAACATAATGTCTTCTGATTTATTAGATACTTTATTCTGACACCATCCTAAGGATGGAGTTTTGAAATAATGTTTCCTTACACTATTCTCAGATTTCTCAGCTACTTTCTCCTCTCTATGACAGGAATGCCTAAAGAGAAGACAGCAAGCAGCAAGCCACTGGAACCCATCTACTCACATAAAGAAGTAAAGAAAGTGACAAAAGCAAAGAAAGGAGTGAAAGGAAAAAAGAAGACTGTGAAACAAAGCCAGCAGCACGCAGTAGTTCACAAACAACCTGTGGAGACGGCAGTAGTTGACAGCCCACAGGAAGTGCAAGAAATGCAGAGACAGGTGTCGCCCACGATGGCGCATGAGGCTGAAGAGTCCGGGGTAAGTCAGTTTTATGCCAGGTTGGGTGACAGTATTGTAACAAGGCTTACTTAGCTCTCACGAATCATACATTGTGGGAGATATTTCAGATAGGATACTGCTGGGGTTAGCTGGCTTACCTGCCAGACCAGGAGTTGAACACATTCAAACTCCCTTGGGGAAGGAAAGTGGGATGGGGAAGACGGGGCGGGGGGGCTCAGAAACCTTAAGTCCACCCCCAGAATTGTGGGAAACTTTGCATGGAGGGCTAAATAGTCTCCATTAACCATTTATAGTTGTTCTCTATTTTGTTAGCCTCTTGCAGGCAGTCAGACTGACTGACTTTCTACCCCACCAGGACATCACACAAGCGATAAACACCTGATGACACAAAGTGCCACCTTGCGGATGAGGATCGCCGTGGAGAGGTCCTAGAAACCGCGTTCAGACATTTGGCCATATATATGGCCTGCCTATATTGCGGTCCCTGGCAAAAGCCAGAGTAGGTCTTTAAAGGAAAAAAAATTTTGTTCTAAAAAGGACGAAATTGGATATAGCATGATTTGCAGGCAGTCATTAGTTACTCTGCTCAAAACTTCGTTAGAGTCGTCCAGGCAATAGTTACCACATTGTCATCGCATAGCAGGCCCTTTGCGGAATGTCACTTTTATCATGCCTCTTATGTAAGCCACTTGGTACATCATTCTCTTCCATGATTTGCTAAAGGGATCTAACTGGAACTTGGGCATCACCATAAGATCTTTGAGTTTCTTTAATGGTTGCCACAATATGTTTCCTGGGATGTATAATGTGGTAGTTTCCCCTTGCTTTCCACATCTACATAGCTTTAGATGATGTCCTCAGCATTTAACAACCTTTTAAGCTGCCAGGGAAAGTGAGTACCCTAGTCTGCATACCCTTGCCAGCAGCAGAAGGCACCCAGAGCTGTCCACTTATCATTAGTTGCTCTGTCCAAACTTTCATCAGCCTCTTCCAGACAATCATTAGTTATCAGGGCCATCTTTTCCGGAAAAAAAAACTATCTCGTTCAGAGAATTGTGACCCTTGCCTATCACAGCTTTTTCTGGCTAGTATGTTTGTTTCCCGTGCTCACATACATGTCAGCTTCAACTGGCCAGAAGGACATGTAGATTTCTCTCAAAACTTCAGTTACGTGATTTTGTGTATTCCTTTTTGTAAATGTAGCATTGTCTATTTATGAAATCTACTGAGATGAAGGCTTTCTAGCCACAAAATTCACTTGTTGTTTGTGATTGTGAAAATGTGAAATATCTAGTTCTGCTTTCAGTTTTGTTTCATATCTTTTTATAATATTGTTTCAAAATCATCTGCTAGTCTCAGGATATCTTCCTTTATCAAGACATTAATTTCATAAAAGTTAAATGAAAACATTTTTTTTCCATCCTGCTAAGATGTCGTCACCGGAAATAATGTCGTCACCGGAAATAATGTCCGATGATTCAGAATCCGACTACAATTTTGTACGGGAACAGTCGAGTCCCGAACCAGAAGTTCCCGGGGAGCAGAGAACCGAGGGACAGCCTCAGCCTGGAGATCAGGTGCCATCTCCAGATAAAGATGATGATAAACTGGACATGGAAGATGAGGTCAGCCTGTCTCACTCTTTTAAAATTTAAACCACACTCTTGATTATTCATTATGGATGTTATGTATTATGTTGTTGTTGTTGTTTGTGTTCAACGGCTGTAAACTCCAGCAAAAAGTTCTGGTTATTCTTCCACTTCTGGACTTTTAATCTTGTTCCAGAACTTGAGTTTTGCATATGCATCCATTTGATAGATCTGGCTTGTTTGTATGCTGTCTTAGTTTGTAATGTAGTCTCTGTATGATTCGCCAAGAATTTTTCTGAAACATCACATTGCCTCTCAGACAGATGCACTCCCTCCGGGTTTGAAGGAAAAGAAAACATCCCCATTTAGTTGACTTTTACATGCCTGGGAGAGGTTTGGTGGGGGGGGGGGGGGGGGGGGGGGGGGGGGGGGAGTGTGTGTGGCTATTCTTGTTTTCCTAATAATTAACCCCTGGAACCCAGATAAGGAGATGCCATGCATTATCTCTTTGAGTCCCAGGGGGTTTAGCATCAGAGACCCAAGGGGTAGTCAAAAGAAACGTAAAATCAGCACATCTTGCGTCCACTGGGCCTCTAGGTAGGAACCTGTAAACGTATGATGCGTTCCTTCGGACTCAAAGAGTTAAGTTCATTGAAGGGGGAAAACTATGAAGGCATAGGGACAAAGGAGAAAGAGACTGCAGATAAGTTCAGAGCTGAGCATCTGATAAGAGTTATATGCAGATACCTTTGATGGCATCAATAGTCCTAAAATCTGGTTCACTTACTGGGGAAGATTGTCTTAAAGCAAGCCGGTCTTGCTAGTCCCACTCAATATCGCCATGGAGTTTGATTCCTATGGCTCCTTGTAGCAAAGGAAACACTATCATCTCGAAAGATGGGCAGATGCAGCCAGGATTATTCATAATTAGTGAACAGTCTGGTCTTTTTAAACTGTTGGATTTATACCGTTTTCATTGTTTTAGTGCTGTCTCCACAGCGGGTATTGGTTGCAGTGACTATGTGCACCAACTTTTAAAATCACAGCTACAACCCCTAACATCACAACTATGACCCCTAACATCACAATTTTCCCAGTTGACATCACAACTATGATCCCTAACATTACAATTTTGACAGCTAACATCACAACTATAACCCCCAACATTACAATAACAGTAGTAAACATCCTAATTACCATCATGGGTGCCAACACCACTGACATATTTGTGACACAATTACCCAGAGTGATGACGAGACATCCAAGCTGAGGTCTATCACCAACAGACAGGCCAGGGCTGCAAGAAGAGCTGCCGCAGCTGCTAAACGCAGGGAGGAGGTCGAACACCGGCGGAAGCTGAAAGAGGAGCAACTTAAAAGGGAGAAAGAAGAAACTGAAAGACAGATTGCTTTACAGAAGGAAATGGAAGAGCAGAGGAAGAAAGGAGAAGAGGAAAGAAGGTAAGAGTACATTTGATCTGGGGGAGAGGGAGTGGGGTGTTTGAGACACACACACATAAAAGAGGGGGGGGGGGGGGGGGGGGGGTAAAGTCTACATTTTGATCTACTGTTTTGATAGTTCATGCCATTATTGGGAGTACTGTCATCATAATCTTCCATCTCTCCCTATCTTCTGCTGGCTCTGTGTGTGAGAGAGAGAAAGAGAGAGAGGGTAATCGAAGAGGAAAGGGAAAGAGTGCTATTCTGCAGGAAAAGACCCAGCCACATGTAATAACCTGGTGCAGTGAAGTGGATCCTCGTAGTTTTAACTTCATCTTCCACATCCAGGTTATCATCAGTGTGTCTCCAGCAGAGACTCTGCATTTTACGGATGAAGTACTTGTAATCAGGTTCACTACTTCTACATGTCTCTCATTATAGTTTATGATAACATGAGATGGAAGGTTCTGTTATATAAGGCAACCTGAAGCTAAAAGTATAAAGTCCTGTGTGCAAGTTGTGCTTGTTAAAATCCTCTGTAGTCAGAAATACAAAGATTAGGCCACAGGGCAGCTGTTCTGGCAACATTGTTAGGAAAGAAAACCTAACTACGGGTAGATATTGCAGGCAACTTTGTATGATGTGTCAGAAGGTAGTAAACCTAAGACATATGTATGCTGAAGACGGACTCACTGGCCCATGGTGTATATAACTTGACAGGAAACCCTTTAATGGAGAGGGGGGGGGGGGGGGGGATTAGAAATATGATAAATAAGATGGTAAAAAGTAGAGAAGTAAAGAAGCTACAGAAAGAAATATCAGATGTGTTTAAGTTTAGTTGGAGGTGCCAGCTTAGGTGACACATCTTCCCATAGTCTAGAGGTTGGGGAATCTCTACCTGCAGAAATGTTTGGTCTGGTCCGGCCAGGGCAACTTCTCTTATTTAACTGAATTTTTTTTTTTTTTTTTTAACGTATCCAGAAACCATGAGTTGTAAACCCTTTGGCTCGGTACTATGGATATCACAACCCTTCGGCATTGATTCCATTATAGGTACCGTTAATCTGGGAGAAATGTGGCTTTTCTGCCTACCCCCGGGAGTGAACCCGGACCACAAGGAGTTCGTCACCCGGCCGCCGCGAAAGTCAGGTTTAACCGACTTCGCTAGAGAGCCGGGCATTTAACTGAATAAAGTAGATTAATTTTAAAGATCTTATATGGACCTTGAATGATCTTATAAAAATCCCAAGAGGCACCCCTGCTGCAGTTAGATAAATCTGAAGCTTTTATGATTATTGTTATAATGATTATTACTCCTCAGTGTAAAAGCAGCATTCAATTTTTTTTAAACAAAATTTAAAATATTTACAGATTACGAAAACAGCAGGAGTTGGAGGAGGTGGAAAAAGAGAGAATGGCTTCAGAAGAAGCAGACAAAAGACGCACCTTAGAGGCTGAGAGAGAGAGAAGAGCCAAAGAGGAATACTTGAGAAAACTTCAGGAAATCAAACGGAAGCAACAGGAGGAGGAGCTAAGAAAGCGTGGTAGGTGTGAGTCATCTATATAAGACAATAAAACAGTTCCTGTTTTTCATTCCTCTTATGTGATATGGTTTATAGGATGAGACAACATACAAAAAGAAAACAGCTAGTCTATACAATGAGATAAGCTAGTCTATACAATGAGATAACAGTATAAATTAGTTAGATATTCTTTGGAGCAGTGTATTTCAAGACTCCTAGACCAGCAGAAACAGGGAAAATTGTTTCATGGGCCATCTGGCAACTAATATATATTTACACACACACACACATATATATACACACACACATATATATATACACACACACATATATATTCACACACACATATATATAGGCACACACATATATAAATATATACTCTTCTTTAGCTTTCCGAGCCCTTGAGGATAAAACTGCAGCAACATAGAGATATCAATCCAGGATAAGATAATCTACAATATTATAAGATAATAGTGTAAGAAGTATGACGCCGTAATGAGATTAAGATAACAGTACCAGAGATAAAACATATACTGAGATAAAGACAATATAAATTCAGACCAGATGAGACAGCACGTACTAACATCAATGTCTTCACTTTGAATATAGAGCTGATGTTGCAGCAGCAGAAAGAAGAGGAAGCGAGAAAGGCAGAGGAAGAACTGATGTTGTCTAAAATGGCATTACAAGAAAGGCTGGAGTATGAACGAATGAAGAAGGAAAAAGAGGAAGAAAAGCAGAAGAAAGAACTTGAGGAAAAGTGAGTAGTTCTTTTTAAGCAACATTGTCTCTTTTTATAATCTTAGCAAAAATGGAGTTACAGGTAATTTTTAAGCAAGCAATAACCATACATCACAGCATTCCAGACATTCCCTAACATGCTCCATCCTCATCTTCAGCAGGCAGCAGAGTTCCTGTGCTAATGGTACCAGTAGAAATGTGATTATATGTCAGTCTTGCTTTCCATCTGAGTGTAGCCTATTGTGTCCTAACCTCCTAGAGACTCCCTGCTGCATCATTCTGTCCGCGCCTAAATGATCGGTGCATGCTTCCATATTGTTGACTTGTCCCCAGAACACATCTAGCTTGTCATGAATCAGGACTTGTTCCAGAATGTGAGTTTTGTGTGCGCGTCCATTTTACAAATCTGGCTTTTTGTGTGCATTTGCAGACTGTTGGTTCCTGGCCTCTCAGACCAGATGCACTTTGATTTAGAAGAAAAACCTCTAATTACTCGACTCTTACAGCATGTATACAGGTCTCTCACCCCCCCTCCCCCTCTTTCCCCTCTACATGGCACCCCCACAGCTTATATGAGGATGTAGAGGAATCTACTATACTGTTCAAAAGAGAATCTTATACTGTCCTATTTTCTGTCCAGTAGAAAAATCTAATACTTTTTTGTCCAACAGTGGAATCTAATATACTGTCTTGTATTCTATCTAATAGAAGAATCTATTATGCTGTCCTGTGTTTTATCTTATAGAAGAATCTAATATACTGTCCTGTGTTCCATCTAATAGAAGAATCTAATATGCTGTCCTGTGTTTTATCTAATAGAAAAATCTAATATAATGTCTTGTCCAGTAGTAGAATCTAATATACTGTCCTGTGTTCTATCTTATAGAAGAATCTTATATGCTGTCCTGTGTTCTGTCTTATAGAAGAATCTTATATGCTGTCCTGTGTTCTATCTTATAGAAGAATCTTATATACTGTCCTGTGTTCTATCTTATAGAAGAATCTTATATGCTGTCCTGTGTTCTGTCTTATAGAAGAATCTAATATATTGTCCTGTTGTCTGTCTCATAGAAGAATCTTATATGATGTCCTGTTTTCTATCTTACAGAAAATTTAATATACTGTCCTGTCCAATAGAAGAATCTAATATACAGTCTTGTCCAATAGAAGAATGGTTGTCTCCAATAGAAGAATCTAATATACTGCTGTGTCCAACAGTGGAATACAATATACTGACTTGTCCAATAGTGGAATCCAATAAACAGTCTTGTCCACTAGTGGAATTCAGTATACTGTCTTGTCCAATATACTGACCTGTCCAATAGTGGAATCCAATATACTGTCTTGTCAAATAGTGGAATTTAGTATATTGTCCTGTGATCTGTCCAAAAGAAGAATCTTATATGCTGTCCTGTGTTCTGTCTTATAGAAGAATCTAATATATTGTCTTGTCCAGTAGTAGAATCTAATATGCTGTCCTGTGTTCTATCTCATAGAAGAAACTTCATGATGTCCTGTTTTCTATCTTATAGAAGATTCTTATATGCTGCCCTGTGTTCTATCTTATAGAAGAATCTAATATACTGTCCTGTCCAATAGAAGAATCTAATATACAGTCTTGTTCAATAGAAAAATGGTTGTCTCCAATAGATTCTTGCTGTGTCCATCAGTGGAGTACAATATACTGACTTGTCCAATAGTGGAATCTAAACTGCCTTGCCCAATACTGTAATCCTATATACTGCTTGTCCAATAGTGGAATCCAATATGCTGTCCAGTCCAGTAGTGAAATTTAATATACTGTCTTGTCCAATAGTGGAATCTAATACTGTCCTGTGCAATAGTGGAATCAAATATACTGCCGTTGCAAATAATGGAATCAAATATACTGTCCTGTCCAACAGTGGAATCCAATATACTGCCTTGTCCAATAGTGGAATCCAATAAACAGTCTTGTCCATTAGTGGAATTCAGTATACTGCCTTGTCCAATATACTGTCCTGTCCAATAGTGGAATCCAATATACTGTCTTGTCAAATAGTGGAATTTAGTATATTGTCCTGTCATCTGTCGAAAAGAAGAATCTAATTTACTGTCCTGTTTTTTTATCCAACAGAAGAATCTAATATACTGTCTTATTCAATATTGGAATCTAATATACTGTCTTATCCAATATTGTAATCTAATATACTGTCTTATCCAATATTGGAATCTTATATACTGTCTTATCCAATAGTGAAATCTTATATCCAATAGTGGAGTCTAATATACTGTTTTATGCAATATTGGAATCTAGTATACTGTCCTGTGTTCTGTGTTTCAGATTGCAGAGAGTGGAAGACGCTAAAGCAGCCATGGAAGAAGCTCAGCGATTGGCTGAAGAGATGGCCAGGAAACAAGCAGAATTGGAGGCTAGATTGCGGTTCAACAGATCCATACAGGACGAAACATCCAGACTAGCGCAGTCTCATTCTATCAACCGAGCATTTGTCTTCTCCTACTTCGAGCTGCTTCAGTGGCTTGGCCTGGACATTCCGGAATTTGAACTAGCCAAACTGGCAGAGTACTGACCCGAGGTCCAGCAGACTCCTGAATTAATATATGAAAACTGAAAGCAGAGAATGTAACTGTTATCAAAGCTTTTAGTTTCCTTTGTCCTGGTTATAAAATGAAGAACATCTTATGCAATAAATCTTTGTCATTGATGGTTAGAAAAAGAATTCCTGCTTGTTACATTCATCCAGTTTTAACATATGACTGTGAGTCCTGGACAATCGGTAGGCAGGCCAAACAGTTTCTTGAGGCCTCAGAGATGTGGTTTTATCGAAGAATGCTTAAAATACCTTGGACAGCCAAAAAGAGCAACCAAGAGGTTTCTAAAGAGGCAGGAGCCCGAAGACATCAGAAGGAGACAGTCATAATTTTTCGGCCATGTTATGAGAAGAGGGAAAAAGGAACATGTGACCACTGGAAAGATGTGTGGAAGGAGGAATAGAGGAAGACAATGAGAGAAGATTCTGGACAGTCTTGTTGCATGGCATGGAGGTGTGTCAGCAGATTGTGGAGAGGCATGATCGCCCACGCCAGTCGGAATGGCACCAAATAATAATGATGATGATGTTTTAACAATCCTCTTACGTATTGGAGAGAAGCGTGGTAGAGGATGCAGTGTCTATAATGAGGCAGACTCCCATGAAGGTGGATACAAGACATTGAAGATGCACTAGATATGAAAGAACTCAAAGATTTGGAGAATTGGCTTAGATAAAGAAAGACTTTCAGGTTTGCAGTGATGAGAAGGACCTGCTGATTGACTGAGTGTTGTATGAATTGTGGTGGTGATGTGAACATTATGCTTGCCCAGTAAGTGTGTAGTTTGGTGCCCAGAAAATGTATTTGGGTGGGGGCTGCATGGTCTCGAAGCATGGCGTCCAACTCGAGTGCTGGATGTCCCGGTTCAGGCTGGGATATTTTCATGTGGACTTCTAGTAATTTCCCCTGGTCTCTGGATAGTAAGATTGGACGCCCGTTTGTATTGATGCGCATGTTAAAAAAAAATCCCTTGGCAGCTGGAAATCAAAAAAGAGTAACCTTACAGTGCTGCCCGGGCAAACTTTGGAGTTAAAAATCTACCAAAAGTATTTTCAGGTCCTCGTCGGTGCTACGGAGTTCATGCACTGGTTTGAGATACTTCAGATTCAGACTTAGAAGTAGAATGGAGCACTTATGGGTTACTGCACTTGTGCCCTGATGTTGATCCGTTGTTTAAACCTAGACTACAATAAATTAGTGTTGAATACGACAGGTGTTTGACACAACAGACTAGGAATTTTGGTGACTTCCAGCTGGTGTTACCATTATTGGTACTCTTAACTGTAATTTCTGTGAAGGTTGAACAGGGGATCTAGGATCTGCCTTGTTTGTTTGTAGTCCCAGAACCTCAGGAAATTATGGTAAACCTTCAGGTTAGTTAAATTTAGTTGTGTATCCTTTACAGGACATTGCAGAACCAACCAATGCCAGCATTTTTGTTTGCTGTTGTGGTTTTTCTAGGCAAATTTCACTTTCAGTAGTTTCCTATTGCTCTCTGTACCACTGTCGAAACCAATGTAAGACAAATCCTCTGCAGCTGGGATCGAACCTGGCACCCTGGCATTACAAAGTGTAATCGCAACTCTACCATCAGGTAGCATAAAAAAATATGCAAATCACCAAGTGTCAATCAACTCGGAGGGGAAATAACTCAAATTCTAACACAGAAAAAGCGTGCAGTTTCTGAAAATAGCCAAAATGTTTACAAATGTCCATGTATTTGGAAAAAGTTCGCCCTAAGCGGGTCAGATTATATAACCAGGACTCGTTAGAATTTCTGAAGATTCGTGATAAACAGATTTTGCCAACTGGACATTTGTTACAAAAATAAACAAAAACTTCACAATAGAAATTCACCACATCCGATACTGCCTAAAGCAGTCTGCTCTCTATACGAGTTTCCCAATCCTTGAATGTGGCAAGACAGCTTTCTTAATGAACCAGCATCTCTAGAACACCCAAATGTTTCTCTGTTCAGTACCAGCTAGCATTATATGTAAATGTCCAACTTCTAGGCTGTATGTTTGATTTTCTGGTGACTTTTCTCACTACCCTACTGCCACACCACACAGTATTGAGTGTATATACGAGATTATCATCATCATCATGTAGTGCTGTCAAATAGCGCTGATAGTTAATTCATCCATCCCATTATTTCCTGTTATTTCGATATGTGTGTGTATAAATGTATAAAATAAAGGGCTTCTTTTTTGTCGTGGTACGCAGTAAGGGCTTCCCCCCCTCAGGTCGTCATGTTTTCAGCGCTACTGTAAACACTGGTTTTCTAGGAAAAACCTACATATTATATGAGATGGCTGTAAATAATTCTAAAATTGGGACTACAGCTTGATTGATTCTGTTGTTGACATTTGGGGTTGCATCGGACGGTGACACAGTTTCCCAAACTCTCATTGGTTATAGATGTGGTATCAGGAGCTGACCATTTAGAAAGCAGTGGCAAACAAATCAGTGTTAGCCTAGTGAAATCACAAACAGCAACCAAATGGCTGGAGCTGCGGCTGGTTCTATAACATCTTGTAAAGAATACCCAACTTTGTTTTTGTACTTGTAGTGTTTCGCTAAAGAGGGTTCTAAAATGTTACATAGAACCTGTTCTGCTCTTTGGCAGCAAATTCTGGAATGTCACTGAACAAATTAAGAAGAATTTGGACTATCTTCAGAATAAGGGTCCCAAATTATTGAGGCAGAATATATACTTTAACAGGGCCTTAGTCACGTGTCAACTGCGCACTTCCGGGGATTATACACCACCGCCGAATTGCGAACTTCCGAATACTGCCGAGAGTATCCCCCAACCAGCTCACGCTGCGTGGATTGGGGCTAAACTAGTTGGCTAGGACTCACGAGCAAATAAAATGAAGGCAGCTTCAGGAAATGCAGTAGCTGCTACTCGTGAGTCCCAGCCATCTAGTTTGGCCCCAATCCACGCCACGTGAGCGGCATGGGGGATACTCTCGGTGGTGGCGGAAGTCGCCGGAAGTGCGCAATTGAGGCCCTGTTAGGGTATATTTTCTGCCTCGATAATTTGGGACTGTTATTCAGGATACGCAACTAACCTTATTTGGAAGATACCCAGAATTTGGAAGCAACAGAGATGTGCTTTTTGAGACGAATGTTACGAATACCTTGGAGCCAGAGTAAATAACAATGATTGCTTGAAAGAGGCTAATGAACGTAGATCAATAAGAAAGAGACAAACACTGTTCTTTGGCCACATAATGAGATGAGAGACATTGGAGAACATTGTGACAACTGGAAAGATCAGGGAAAAAAGGGGTAGAGGCAGACCAAGAGAGATGATGCTGGATGGGCTAAAACTATGGCATGGAGGGATATCATCAAGAGAGCTGTTCCAGGCAACCAGGGATCGTGATCTGTGGAGACGCATGAGCACCTATGCCAGTTGGCAGGGCACATGATGATGATGATGGGTGTTTCCCTGAGTCAGTATTTATATCTTTATTGGTTTTATTCAGTTGATATCACAATTTTATTTTGAGACTGAATGAACAAAAAATATTCCAAAGCCTGCAAAGAGTTAACATAAAATATTGATATCGTTGAAAAACTGTTGTGATCCGATCAGATCTTGATAAATTGGAATAGGCTTCCAGGAAACAGTGTGGTGGCATCTGACAGATTCATGATATTAAACAAATAGAAGATATTAAAATCTGACTGTTTCAAGTGACGCAAGTCAGAAGACATTGTGTTGACCTGTAGCATATGGATTCTCATGGTTTACTTTGATTTGTTTATGTGTCCTAAAGATTAAGATTCCAGAGATGTTCCAACAGCAATGTTTTCTTGTTTTTTTTTTTTTTAAATGAGCTGATGTTCAGGACTATTCCTGCAGTTTCAGTTCCTAATGGCAATGTTGAAGATGTTCTTTTGTAAAGGTACAATTTTAGAGCCAAAACTTTGCATTATAAGGGTGTTGGATTAATGAGGGGGCCAACTTACGTGTGATATTTGTAAAACTTTGCCTCTGAGAGAGAACAGGCTCTCTCCCTTGAGAAGGAGAACACACTCTGCTGCCTACCCTCTAACAAATCTCTCAAAAACTCCAGTATGGATCAACACAAATCTTTCCATGTGGTTTAAGATTTCCCCATGTCCTTAAATGACTTTTAGCTTCCTAATGCCGAGGTGCCGGGTTCGATCCCAGCAGCAGGCTTTGCGCCTTGTGTTGGTTTCGACAATGGTATCGAGAAGCCGACCATCCAGAAAGCAATGACAAACTACTGTCTTGCCTAGAAAAACCACAACAGCCAACAAATGCTGGGTTTGGTTCTGCAACATCTTGTAAACATTTCCCGGCCCGTCTACACACTTTCTCAATCTGATCTAGGTCAGACGGGTGTCACAATGTACTGTTTTCTTCAAAAGGAGTCTCTTGTGGGACCTAGGCTCAGGCTGTGGGTGGGTGGGCACCAAGTCAAGATCTTCTGGGGTCGTTAAAAGCTGTGTCGTTGAGTACTAGAGAACACATGACCTCAGCGCTGATGTAATTGGAGACAAGAAAACATGACACCCCACTGATGTAGAACAGTCTGAGAAAGCATGAATGAAATGTCAGTCAGTGTGGAGATAGGCCGGGAAAGGTGAATAGGACTGACTTTTATGATTCAACTGTACTATTTGTTCAAGCTGCAAATTTCTATGATCTTTGTCAAACTAACAGACTAATAGTTTGTGTACATCTATAAAATATGGATGCGAGTGTTTGAAAGCAACGGTAGCTCTAGATTTAAAAAAAAAATAGTTTCAAGAACAAATGTCTTAGAACTAAATCTCTCTCCAACTAGACAGATTTCAGATCCTAAAGGCAAATAAGGCAAGAGACGAAGCAAGACAATGGTATCCAATTTTATAAGAAAGAGCCACTGAAACTATATCGGCCAAGCACTCAGAATAGATAAGAGAAGACTGCCCCATCAAGCCCTCATATGGAAAC